AGACCTGCAGTACTAGAGACATGTCCGAACACATGTGGTGGGACGTCAAGGGTCGGAACGGCAAGAAGCTGTCTTTCACAGCGCAGTCGGTGGCTGGCGAAGTCGATCAAGTCGGCTGGAGCAACTACTTCGTTCCTGTTTACAGCTCCGATAATGCTTCTGAGCTGAAGATGCTCATGTGGTTTTTCGATAGCAAGGGCGGTCGCAAGTATCAACCAACTGGTGACGATATCGGCGTTCCCAACTGGGTTGACAAAAAGGTATGTGACGCTTTCTACCATGTTATGTGCTGTACTGACTCTTGCAGGTCGTCGAATGGTTTCGCAATACCAACAACGCGTTTACCCAGCAATACGGCCGTGCGATCCCCAGTATGGCTTTTGTGCATATTCCGATTCGTGCAACGAGATCTTTTCAACAGAACGGGCGTGACCGGAAGACGAGTCCAGGCCTTAACGAAGAGAACATAGGACACCAGGGCGACGTTTGCGACAGCACTGGAAACAACTGTAAGTACGGCGGCGCCGACATCCCGTTTATGACGGCGCTCGTCGAGACTGAGGGACTCATGGCCGTCTTCTCTGGTCACGACCACGGTGTAGACTGGTGCATGAAATGGGCCAAAGATCTCCCTGATACCTCTCCTAAGAATGGTAATGGGCTAAATATCTGCTTCAATCGCCACTCGGGTTACGGCGGCTACACCGATTGGACACGCGGTGCGCGCCAGATCGTTGTCAAAGAGGACATGTTGGACGCGAGGGTCGTGGATACTTGGATCCGCATGGAGAACGGAAAAATCTCAGGACAGGTGTCACTCAACGCTACTTTCGGTACAGACCAGTACCCGGTGGTGGACAAGTCAAAGACCTCGTAGCCTGAGCCAAAGCGACTAAGTCCGACCTCTTGAAATGTTGGGCCGGACATATGCTTCTTACCGGGTTTACTGTATCTTGCATTGGCGTGGAAGTTTGGAGGCGTACGATAGTTATCATACTAATGAGTAGCTCAATTTGACATGGTTTCCTACTGCACATGGTAAAATTTAATTGAGTGCTATATCAGAATCGCGCAGGTTTCAGAGTCCCGCTTTTCTTCAATCATTGCCATTGGGATTTGAGCGGACGTTGAACCGGACTTGGGTCAAGGGGCAGTGCATTGCTCGGCTGCGGGCAAAATCTATTGGCCCCACCTGCGCGCTCGAAAGGGCAACCGAGCCATATGACGTCAAGTTCTTCGATTCCAAAACACCAACACTAGGTTCCCGAGCGCATCCGCACAGTCTCGCCAACGGAGCAAGCGTCTCATGCGCGTCTTATAGCCGCTGCTAAGCATGGCGAAGCATCTTCGACCGTGGGTCTTCGCGATCGCTCCATCGCCAGTCGCGCCCTGAGCGTGGCTCTTTTGCACTGACGTGTTTTGTTGTGCACGTTTCCTTTTTCCTTTCAAGATACCCTACATAGCCGTTCCTACCGTCGCTCATCCTTCATTATGTCGTATCTCGAGCGTCAAACGACGCGGATTACCGGCATAGAACATGGCGCTCGTCGACGCAGCGTCCTCAATCCCTCATCTTCAAACAAGGTGCCCAACGCGAAGAAACCACGCACACGACCCCCGGCATCGCTACGCGACCATCTCCCATACCCTAACTCCACCCTCTCTCCTACTTCAGGACCGTACTCCATAGGAAGCATGGAGATAGAAGTCCCTGTTGAGAATCCCCGACCGATCTCGAACATAAAGCGCAAGGGCCGGCACCTCCTGCAGTTGGAGACTGTTCTATTCACACTATACTACCCCTCCTCGTTTGGAAGTGGAAACGGGAACGCTCCAGGAGGAGAGAAGAAATGGAGTCGAGAGACATGGCTTCCAAGACCACGCATGGAAACAGCGAAGGGTTATGCGCGTTTTGCTGGCATACCAAGCTCTATAAGCATTGGTATTTTTGGCGCAACCACCATGCTCACGAAGCTACGTGGCTACAGAAATGCTCCTCCTGCAACTCATTGGCCTCCAGAAGGCAACATGAAGAAGAACGGTTATAAGATCAAGAACCAGCAGGGCAGTCCGCCCGAGGACATGGGCAAGGAGCCCAAATTCCCTCTGCTGATATTCAGTCATGGTCTTGGGGGCTCAAGAACTGCATACAGTAGCTTGTGCTCAGAGTTTGCAAGCTATGGCTTCGTCGTTTGCGCGGTGGAGCATAGAGATGGGAGTGGGCCACGTACTTTCGTCAACCACAAGAGGCGAGGGAAGCGGAGAAAGGACCCGCAGGGAGGAGGCAAAGCAACACATAGTGCTTGCGACGGGGACGAAGAGGATGATGAAAGTTTCGACAAGTTTCGGCACCTGGACCACACTGAGGAGGAGATCGCGCGAGGCTATCACCATGTCGTACGTCTCCATTGGGTTCTTTTTGGCGGTGGGTAATACGGGGCGTGATAGGCTGACGATCGCAGGACTACATCTTTCCCAAAGATAACCCAATGGATACTGCACCGAACAATGAGCACGGCGTAGACGGCGAACTTCGGAGCGCGCAGATCGAAATGCGTCTCTGTGAACTCGAGGAAGCATACCGTGTACTCAAGATCATATGTGCTGGTGATGGAGAGAAGATCGCACAGCAGAATCTACGTGGGGAGGGTTACGTTGGCGGCTCTTCAAGAGGCCTGAGTGGAATTGATTGGGCACAATGGAAAGATCGGTTTCACGTAGATAAGATGACCGTCGCTGGCCATAGTTTCGGAGCAGCGACTGTAGTAGAGGTGCTCAGGCATACAGAGCGATTTACTAACGTCCAGGCTGGAATCATCTATGATATTTGGGGGTAAGTACGTCTCTGCCCTTATTACATCAAAACTAACATACTTGCAGTGCGCCTGTAAAGCCACCAGTGGACGACCCAAAACATCGGATACACCTCCCCTTACTGGGTATCGCCAGCGAGGCGTTCATGTATTGGCAGAAAAACTGGGATGCAGCCATGTCTCTGATGAGAGAGGCCAGCGAGCATGGCGCCCCTGCGTATCTCTTCACTGTCCGAGGCTCCGTGCACATCAACCAAAGCGACTTCTCGATCTTGTACAAGCATATTTCATCGTTGTTCCTGAAGGCCACTGTCCATCCGCAAAGGGCTATTGACCTCAATGTCAGTACAAGCCTCGAGTTCCTTAGGCTAGTAGCACCAGATTCTGGAGGTGGGAAGTCTATCATCAGTAGGTGCATGACAGATGAGAAGATCTTGGAAACGCCTCTCATGGAAGACATCCCCGACGAGCACCGACCGACCGACCAATGGATAGCCGCTCGTCTACGGGTAGACAATGAGTTCAGGAAACGATTGGCCGCTGGCCTCCAGAGGAAGTTTCGGCGCAACTTCCAAGGTGGCATGGGCACTGGATACAGTACTTCTGATGAAATGTGGTGTTTCCGCAAGCCTTCTGATGAAGATCTGCAAACATGGATCAACGCAGAAGATAGGGGAGAGAAGCGCATAGATGAAGACCGAGCCACCGCACCAACTGAGATTCAGAATAGTGATCATGCAGCTGCCGATGCTCATAGATCTGCATCGTCTGCCCGGAGCGATGCCGAGACGAACGAGAGTACACTGCGAAGTAAAGACGTTGGAGATGCAAAGGATGGATCCAGCTACCGAACGGGGCATGAGGTGCGAGATAGATATGATAATGCTGAGAAAAACACTTGTGGGAAACCTGGAGAGACAGAGACATCAGCCGCTACAGGACAGGGTGAAGATGCACCGTCAAACAACTGGTTGGGTGTTCTTCCTAAGCTTAGAGATGGACCGGGTCAGGCGTCAGCGTAGTTACAGTGCTAGATTATGTGATCATACACAAGCTTTAAACGTTCTTGACCAGACGCTTAAATAGCTAACTTTAGACAGATGCAAGTGGCAGGCACAGTGTGCTCGCCTTGTAGGTTGGGGTGCATAGTACCAACGCAATTGATGTCGGCCACCTAGATAACCCGGGGTCCGTATTGCTTGTATTGTCTGGACAGCAGAACGAAAGAGACCAGCACCTTTCAGACTGTGAATCGGGATAGTGTCAAGCATCTATAAGATTTTTGCACGTCTGATTGAAGTAATTTAAGATTGTTTGTCTTTCGCAAAACTAGCCTCGTCATCATGAAGCTGATAATGAAGCGCATGATGGACTGACCGCTGCAAGCACTGTGGATTGACTGATGGGATTCTTGGCTCCACGTGATTGGTCAGGCTAGTCGGTAGTTGCCGAAACGGAAATTTAGCGTTCAGTAATCATGTTGCAAGTCGTCCCGACCTGCACCAGAGCGACAAGACACACCGCGAAACAATTGGCCACAACTATCTACCAAGATCTGACAACCTCGGTCTCAAACGTCTTGTCGATTATGATTTCCAAGAACAGTCTAGGAATGGTAGATCTGTACGCAGGAATAGCAATGTAGATGGTACCAGTATGAGCGGAGAACCCACTCGGCCATGAACCCACGGTCATGCAATCGTCCGCACCTCTCGTCCTACATGAACTAGCCGCAGCTTGTGCGGAGACGCGCATTAGCCCTGTGTAACAGCGGACCCTTGATCGATCTCGAACCTTATGAGCTGAAGCGGCCGTACGCTGAGTCGGGCACCGGACAGTCTTTTGCTTTTCCATGCTGGCTGGCTTGCGTCACGTTGGATTAGTTCTGGACGCCATACGACCCGGCGATCGCTTATTTACATATGCACAACGTCTTCCCGCTACTTTTACGCGAAAGCGATTACTTCATCGAGAATCTGGACAGAGGATTTCTGCTATTTGTACAAGTGAACGATAGCGGTGTTTCAAGAGTCGGATCGGAGTGACAGCAACCCGCAGATTCCGACTCCGGTTCGCTCTGCATTCCTTCACAAGTTTCGCTACAGGTTCCACCGAACCCCTTCGGAGACATACCTCCGGCGTTCTTACTTTGTTCGTTCTGCAGTATCAGAAGCGAAGACCAAAATCATGACGAGCTCAGAGTCGGAAGAACAACCGCAGACATCGCGAAAGCGCTCGCGCAGGAGTAATAGTGGCGATGACGGTGGTGCTGGAGGAAAGAAGGCTAGGGGACGGCCCCGGGTAGATACGCAGGATGCCACAGCCGCAGATGTGAGTGGAGACGTCGTGTCTTTTCTTTTCTTTTTGCCCTGATTCGTTATTGCTCAATCCTACAGCGGGATGGAAGATGAGAAATGTACACCTGCTCTCATCGAAAAGGCTGTGAGGCAGTGCCATTCTTCAAGCTCGACCCGCTTCGAGATCGACCTTCGTCGCCCCCTATGGACGACCCCGCTCCACCCGCAGTGCCCATTTCATCACCATTCAGCCTGAACCATTTCACACCTCAATGTCTCAGACCACGCGTCGACTATGCTGACAGATATGGCAGAGACGAAGAACTCAAATCCGTCTTGCTCAGCGAGCTTATCGCCAACGGAAAGAGACAACGATCTCATCTCTGAAAAACCAAAGCGCACAGCTTCATTCCATCATCGAGCAGATGAACAAGACTTTTCTAAAGCTGAATGAGTCAACCGTGAAGTCAGGTTTGTTGCAACTGAATCCGACATTGGCTCAGGAGTTCAAGCTGGTGACGGAGACATTTGCGAACTTGGTTAAGACAGCCAGCGAGGGTCAGTATGAGGGAGACGAAGATGGCGAACAAGGGGATCAGGGAGCTGCTGAACGCAGTGGTGCACAAAGACCAGTCGAGCCGGAAGTCGAAACTCAACACGTTGGATGGGGCTATTCCACAAACTCGAAGCCAGATGTTCAGAAGCGCCCGCAACAACAGCAACAACAACAACAACAACTATCAACCCCGGATAGCTACCTCGCACATATCAGTGCTGCCTATGGTACTGTAGACACCAGCAGGAACGATCTAGTGCCATGCCGTGCGTTTCCAATTGGCGCTGTTTTTGATCAATCGAGCCGATCTTCACAGCCCCCAGGAGATCCACCGTCTTCGCATACCTCGTCGCAATCAGCACAGCTTCCCTTTGGTCTTGTAGACTTACTCAGCCAACAGCAAGCACCCTTCGCATCATCAAACCCGCACATCTACTCCGTTCGTATACCGACGCCTGACGTTACTCCACCAATAAACAGGCTTCCAACACCTCCTACAACGAAAGTCCCGACGAAGACACTTCAACCGGTGACAACATATAGTTTCGAAGAGACTACATTTGCTAGGAGACTATCCAGGGCGGCGCTTGAGACGGGGTTCCATTTGCTGAGTCGTGCCAACGATCGTCCTACGGTACGTACCCAATTAGCCGATGTACGAATTGCCTTTTAACCTCACTGCCCTACTTCAATGATCGACAAGAGACTAACCATTGCAGTTAGGCGATAGATCGCGTCTTCAAACTCTCTCTACCCCACCAAACTCTCGATCAAATACGGAGCCGCTTCCGGACTATTATGTCCCGTTCTATTGATGAAGACCTGGACTGGTGGGAATCGCCTTTCATCCATCTCGGCGGCGCAGGAACTCACTATCCGCGACGTGATGCTGCGGGCAATATAACACATGTTAGGAATGGGTGGAACATGCGGCAAATTGGACCACCAGAGAAGAGAGTACATATAATAGAGAACACAGAAGACGGCAGGAGTGAGGAGTTGGGTGATTTGGATCTCAGTGGATTTGAGGGAGAGTGGTTCGACTGCCATGATGTGCAAGGGTATTTGGAGGATAAATACGCGTGCAAGCTCGATCCGAGAAGTTCATTCGCGGAATGTGTTATCGACGAAGAGGACGAAGGAGCGCCCGAAGTTCATAGCAGTGCTCTACGACCACGTCCAAGCATACCAACGGAGCTGCCTCGTCTCAACAATAGTTCTACCAACCCAGCGACAACTTCGTCAAACACTTCGACAAATCGACCTGGTCAGCCTTACAACATGGCAGACAATGGAGCCTTCGGTCTAGACATGTCATTCGGTCACACTAGCGACTTTCCCAGGCTCATCAATTACGATATATCTTACGATCAAACACTAGGATTAGATCTCGCCCCTGGATACAATTATGATTTCTCGCATTCCGATGGCTTTCACATAGGCGGCATGGATTTGGGCATGGATATCATGAACGACGTGACTGCGGCTTTGCCAGTGGTGAGGCAGAAGCGGAGAAAAACTGGCTGGGTCGACGTCTCAAGACTTATCGATGGTGAGTGCAAATGGTGACGAGAGACGAATAGTCCCAAGGTTGGCTAACAAAGTGACAGAGATCATTGTACGTGGCGTTTGCCTGGGGCGGTCGCCGGGATACAGGCGTAAAGATGTAGATTTAGCGGTGCGAAAGTCTCTGGTGCATGAGCATTGAGCCAGTCGTTGCAAGTACGGTGTTGAATGTACCGAGATATCCAGGCACTACTAGAAGAAGCAGCACGAGTTTTGCTTTTGATGCAATTTCTGCGGCCTAACCCAGGACCATCTGATGATTTGACGACATGTGTATCAATAGAATTATCAAGTCGCATGCATATTGCGCACAATCATTTGCTATGACATGAGTGTACGAGAACGTTCCATCATGTTGCTGCGAAGGCATTGTTCAGCTGGTTATGGTCAGTGTCACGTGTCGCGCTAGTATAGCGTTAGGCGCTAAGGAATCGGCGCCCTCAATGATTGCCGGGACGCCGCTCACTATCACTCATACATCCACGACCACGAACGCTGAGGGCACCCGAACACGTCGTACAAAGCCTTCCGTCTGGGCTAGCGATATCCGTAGAAGTTCCTTGACAGCGCAGAAGCTTCCTCAAGCGCGCGCACCTATTTGCAGCCTCAAGCGCTGACGTCGCCTGCCTGGCTTGCCTGCCTATTCCTCAAGCCTCTGCACGCGAGCGACCATCGCAAGCCTTTGTGCAGCCTTCACAGAGCCCATATCGTATACTAGATAGCTGAGACCATAGCAAGCAGTCACCACCATGTCGAACTCGGTCGTGGTTAGTATCCCCTGGGCGCGCATGCGAGCGGTGGAAGGGTGAAGGCAGGCTTGCTAACAGCGACAACCAGGGCGGTGTCTACCAGCAGATCATCGAGAAGGTGATCCAGACGTCGCAGAATGATTTCGAGGAGTCTGGCGTCGACCACACGACGCTCGACGAGATGAAGCAGGTATGTTGCAACCTGGCCTCTCCATCTCAGGCGTCGCGCCTTTCTTTCCTTTGTCGCATCACCACTGCGGCCCCTGCACCACACCGCTTGTTGTGTTTCTCGCATTCCTTGTCAAACAATCTCTCGCATCGTTTTCGCTGGCTGTGGCGATCGCGCCATGGTCGCCTGGCCTGGGATGTTGGGCGGCTGAAAGCGGGGCGGAGTTACCGGTCGGTCTGGCAGCTCGGGGGCGCCTCAGTATTTGGGTCACCTTCTTATAGCCCCTGCACAGCTCCCCCACCCGCCAAGACCAACGCATCACTTCCCAACGCGGTATAGCTTGTCATGTGACGGCTGCTTTTATATCATGTTTCACTGCACAGCCATGCAGAACATATACTGACCATCACTAGGGCTGGCAAGAGAGGCTATCTGCTCTCAAGATTGCTCACTTCCCTTGGGATCCCGCCCCTGAGCCTGTTCGTCAGCCGCCTACGGTGCCATCCAACGTCAAGGTTGACAATGATATGCCTCCCGTTTCCGGTCCTCAGGATGGCCTAAACTTCCCGAATGTGCCCGTCAAGACAGAAGGAGGATATCAGCCACCTGTTGCTAACTACCCTCCAGCCCAGACTGCGAACAATGGTTATGGTGGCAGCTATGATCAAAACACACAGCTGGCAAACCAGCGCGCGGCTGCGCTCGTCCAGCAACGCATTCAGCAACAGGGACATGTGCAGCAGCAAAACTTTCCCAACCTTGCTCAACAAGGACATTTGCCGCAGATGCCAATGCAAAATCAGCAGCAGCGGATGATGGCGCCACAACAACAGCATCAGCGCCCGCCGCAACAGCAACAGCAACAGCAACAGATGCCGCAGCAGCGTCCACCGCCGCAAAATCACATGTACACCTCTCAGACTGATGGTTCAGGTGATGCCATGGCCGACTGGGAGGCCCTGAAGGCTGCGCGAGCTGCTGATGCAGTTGAGCGTATGGCAGCAGACGACTTCATGCGTGCCCGTGTTGATGCCATGGCTATGCGTCAAGACAGTGGCCTCATGGTGCCGCTCGATTCGATGCCAAAGGGCAGGAAGCGAAAGGCTGCTGTGCGTGTGTTACAGACCGAAGATGCAGAAGCATCGTCAAGTGCACCAGGCCCTGCTCGCTTTGACGGCGACGACGATGTCAAGCCCGAAGAGGATCCGGATGATGCGATCAACTCTGACCTTGATGATTCAGAGGACGAGCTTGGCGATGGCGACAACAGTGATGACGAGATGGTCGACTACATGCTCTGTACCTATGACAAGGTCCAGCGCGTCAAGAACAAGTGGAAGTGCACCCTCAAGGACGGTATCCTGACGACGAACAAGAAGGAGTGAGTTTCACGCTGAGATGATGAAAGAAAGATTACTAACGACATGGAAGATACTTGTTCCACAAGGCAAATGGTGAATTCGAATGGTAGAGCATTCGCAAACCATTGCTAATGCCCGTGGTAGCTGAACTCGAGTTCTAAGTCGCTCCGTGCAGCGCACGAACAACACTCGATCGAGACGCGAGTCTAGTACGACGGTAACAGAAGAACCGCCCACCTCGTTCCCTCGTTTGCGACGATCACTACGGCTCGGTACGAACATCGATAACGGGCATCAGATTGGATACCAAAGCCTACTCATATGAAGTTTAAAAAGAAGAAAGAAAGCAAGAAATCCCAATAACGCACGCATTACTTGATACCCTGGATCTGGACGACTGGGCGTCCGCAATATGTCCAGGTTTACATTAGTCAAATTGAATTTTTAGTTGGGGCAAGATTAGAGGTCTGGTTGGTTTCCATACCATAAAGCACAGGCGTATCGGCTCTATGACGCTTCACATTTCCTTAGGTGGAGTTTTCCTAGTGCATTCAGGGAAGATAGTTGACGTCTGGAATCATGTTGGCGGCTGGAGCTCAGCACCTCTTTGGCTGGGTGGCTGTTCTCTGCGTCTATCAAAAAGAAGGATTCCAGCAAAACCATTACAGAAGGCATTGTACGATTGTGGGCTTCTTCTTTCGCTCTGTTCTAGTCTAGGGCAGAGTTGCAGAAATAATGAACAAACAGAATTGGCACATGCTGAAGACAAAGTCCATATTTACTGCCCGTGATTGCTAGGAGTATACTATCATAGCACGTCTTGATCTCCACTTTCCTCACCGCTTCCGGTGCCGTTGTGGATAATGGTCTCATCAGCATCTCCAGCATCACCTTCTTCGTCATCCTCTTCCACGAGCGGGACGAATCGGAAGTCGACAAAGCTTACTTTGCCACCTGTCGCATTTCCAGTCGCGGTCTGGGAACTTGATAGACCACTCTCAACCTCGATCATGAATTGTAAACTCAGTACGCCTTGAGTGTCTGCCCGTATGCTGACTTTGGTCGCAACGTTCATGGCACGCGCAGCCTTCTGTATCAAGCTGAACTTGTAGGACGAGCGAAGTACAGTGTGGGGATCGCTCAGCTGGAAGGTTTCGAGCAAATTGGCTGCCTGATCTCCTGTCTCGCTATTGACGTTGAAATTTGTGGACACAGGAGTGCGGAAGGTGGAAGGCTGGGGCTGATTGTTAAACTCGACGCGCGCAGAGCCCAGAGTGCCTGACGATGCTAGGGCGAAGAAGGGTTTACCGCGCACTGTTTTGGCGTACATGGTCAGCTTCTCCGGGCTTGTGGATGATAGTTCTTGTATTGCGTCGTATAGCCAGCTGCCTCGCATGATGACTTTTAGTGCAAGGGCCTGGCGATCAAATGGTATCTCGTCTGCATATTCGGGCTCGTATGTCGTGAGGTCGCATTGCGTGCGTATGCTTGCCTCGGTGAGAGTCACGGCTAGTGGAGCACCAGGGCCATGGTAGCTTATTCGACAAAGGTTGTTCATGCCACCTAGTATGTTGTTTCCTGTAAAGGCTGTGCTGGTCGGGTAAGGAGCGTCGCGCGCCCATGGTGGCTTGGATGTGGAGGGGTCGGTGAGACCGAAGATCTGGAGGGTCTCGAGGAGAGCGGGAAGGGATATCTGAAATGCTGGGGTGGTAGTAGATGGTGGCTCGGATTCGTCATCGCTGTCGGAGTGTTGGGAGTTGTGTAGTGGGGCAGGCGCATTGAAGGTGTAAGTTGTGAAGAGAGACTTGTCGAGGAAGGCGGAAGCTGTGGTCGCGTCAGTCTAGAGATGGGACGAAGGGACGGTTGCAGGTAGAAGTACCTTCCATGACGCTTGCCTCATCGACAGCGAGCTTGATGCCAATGTCGCTGATCTGGACGTGAGCCTTGTTGGAGAAGGCGATGCAACGAAGGAGTAGGTAGAGCTGTCGCGCAGAGCCTGACACTGCCGTCAGGATCGGAGGCTCGTCTTGGTCCATGGTGCTGTGTTGTAAGTGTGTGGGATGTAGGGTATTGCGCAGGTAGTGTCTTGAACTTTTTATTGGTATTCCATAGATTGTACACAGAGTATGCCCCTAACGCCGGACCGAGAAGTAGGAAACTAGACGTAGACGCCGACTGCGCAAATCATGTAGACTGCACCGAAGCTGTTTGCCGTCAGTCAGTCAGTCAGTCAGTCAGTTGCCGGTCGCATCTTGTGTCTTTTCGAGGCCACGTACCCGAATGCTAATGAGGCCGGAACACCGAGAACGGGGAGGTTGACGAGGGATCGGTCTGTTTGCGGATAAGCAGAGGTTCGCTGGAGGAGGGTGAAGGTGTCGCGTACTCATGCCGAAGAGCGTGGTCAGGACGAGGGCTGCGCGTCGTTAGTATAGCAGCTCCACCAAGCACGAGAGCAGAGCTTCCAGCATACATATGGCTAGCAGCACGAAGCCGACTGTGAACTGCGTGTTCTTTCCAATGGCAGGACTGAAGGGCGAGGACGCAGCAGCCTCCCAGACGTCTACAAGTGGGCTCGACATGTTTCTGGGCGTGCAATTGGGCGGGATCAAGTGTCTCTTGCGTGAAGCTGCTTTGGTGGCCTTTGGTCCTCACTGAACGGCCATCGGCCATTGATTGGTGTGGGGCCGTTAGCGTGGGAGGCGCACCTTCCCCAACATTCAGTCAACACCACGCGCAGGGCCGAGAGAAGGCGCGACTACATAGCTGAAAGCGCCCTACACCACAACATGGCGGGCGCAACCGATGAAGGTAAGTGTCCATGTCCCCGTCAGCCTCCTATCTGTCCACAGCCCTTCACTGGTGTCGCGCATCTCGCATGTATCCCCGCAACAACATCCCGCAGTTGCGCGACGTGTTGGGCTATCCCACCTCTCCGCCAACTTCACCGCTACCCATAGCTCCCCCCATAGCTCCTTCACAAACACGTCCATGTTCTCCGGACACACAGCTCCACCGACTGCAAGCTAATCCGTCTTGTCCCAAAGCCAAGCGCAAAGCGACTGCCGACCCTCCCAATGGCTCTCCCAAGCGCATAAAGCAGGACCCCTCGACCCCCTCTGCCACCGACGATGCGCCCGCACCCCCCGTGAAACGCATAGTCCCATTCCCCGAGAAACCTGCGGTAATAGAAGAGCGCAACGGAGAAATCGAATTCAGAGTCGTCAACAACGATGGGGAGAGGGAGAGCACTATTATCTTGACGGGCCTCAAGTGCATTTTCCAGAAGCAGTTGCCCAAGATGCCAAAGGACTATATTGCCCGTCTTGTCTACGACAGAACACACTTGAGTATAGCCATTGTGAAGCATCCCCTCGAGGTGGTAGGGTATGTACGCCCATTCTCCTCGTTGACAGTCAATTACTGACAGTATCATGGCACAGTGGCATCACATACCGCCCCTTCGACAAGGGTCAATTTGCTGAAATCGTCTTCTGCGCTATCTCATCGGACCAACAGGTCAAGGGCTACGGTGCCCATCTCATGTCGCATCTTAAAGACTACGTCAAGGCTACCTCGCAGGTCATGCACTTCCTCACCTATGCGGACAACTATGCTATTGGTTATTTCAAGAAGCAAGGCTTCACCAAGGAAATCACCCTGGAAAAGTCAAGATGGATGGGTTATATCAAGGATTACGAGGGCGGCACCATCATGCAGTGTAGCATGGTACCCAAGATACGGTACCTGGAGAGTGGTAGGATGTTGTTGAAACAGAAGGAGTGCGCAAACGCCAAGATAAGGGCTGTCAGCAAGAGCTACGAAGTCCACGCGCCGCCAGCACAGTGGGCAAAGGGAGAGTTGAAAGCCATCGACCCCCTAACCATACCTGCAATCAAGAACTCGGGTTGGTCGCCTGTCATGGACGAACTCGCCCGCGCACCCCGCCACGGACCAAACTACAACGCCCTTCTCCATCTCCTCAACGACATGCAGAACAACAGCAACGCCTGGCCCTTCCAACAGCCCGTCAATAAGGATGAGGTGTTGGACTACTACGACGTCATCAAAGAGCCCATGGACCTTGCGACTATGGAGGAAAAGCACGAGAAGGATCTTTACCCTACTCCCGAGGACTTCATCAGAGATGCTAAGCTCATCTTTGACAATTGCCGCAAATACAATAATGAGAGTACGCCGTACGCCAAGGCTGCTAACAGACTGGAGCGGTATATGTGGCAGCGGATACGTGATATTCCAGAGTGGTCGGTAAGTCTTCTATCCATGACGATCTACAATGCAGAATGGGATCATGGCTAACAAATCATCAGCATCTGGAAGGTGAACTAACAGGAAAGTAAGAGGTCGGTCTTCCGATTGCTTTGATTTTCCGCTGTTGAGCAGCCATTGTGGTAGCTTGCATCGTTCTATCAATTGTCTTGTTGTTGTTGTCTTTAGCGGCATTGGGAAGGTGTCTGGTGTACGGTATGTCGTATTGACGAACGGGGGCTTGGCAGGCTCGTTATACCCTTTTTTCGTACACATTTGATTTGAAATGTTCATATATTTTCCAAAGAGTGACTGCCGTAGAAAAATCTCAGAGCTTGATTGTTTGCTAGTCACCGATCACAGATCGCGATAGACTGATGTTTCCAGAGCATCAAGCCACGCCAGTAACTGTTGCCTCTTCTGCTTTTCGAGGATTGTAGGACAAGTGTGTATAAACCTCGGTATTATAGTTACCATGGAGGAATTCATATTTTGTTGTATCTGACATGATTACCGTACCACATAGAAGTGAAGGAGCAAGTTGGCCTCGTCTACTCGAAACATCGCACCTGTCTTGTGACAGGGCTTTGACGTGAGGCGGTACTGCTTGCAACTGTACACAACAATCACTGATGTGATGTATCATTTCTGCGTGATTGCCTGTTCGCGTGTTTGCCTGCTTGCATTGATTTCATATGACAAGCCAAAGTGTGGTAGCACTGAGCATACGTTCCTGATCAAACACGTAGGACCAGGCACATGGGACTAGGCACATCTGACTAGGCAGGTAGGACCAGATTCTGTGTTCGACCAAGACGAAGCGGTTGGTAACCTTGAACCAAGCCTGTGCGTCATAGTGCAGCCATGTCAACATGTTGTGTTCCTCAACCTTATTGTGGCGTTTGTAGCATGATTTATGTACTCTTTTGACGCGTTCTGAAGCGAGGCTTTGCGGTTTGGCGATGTGTTGTATGTACGGCTACTGGATGGGAGTGAGCCAACACGATGTGTGCATAGTGGCTGAGGAAATGCAGTTTGCGTATACTGGATTCGGTACGTGTTCGGGACAATGTGCGGCGTGCGATAGTGTAGATTCTGGGCTTTTGAGCATTGATGGTACGAGAGCAAGTGCGGCGGGTGAAGTCGTGGGAAAGATGTCCTGGCTGGGGTTAGAGAGAAGCGTAGCCTAACAAAATGGTAGTACCACAGCTCTACAGCGCAGGTTGATCACCTAAACAGAACCCAGTAATCTTTGCGACCACTCAGCAATTCGGATCTGGTGTTTTGCACAGAACTAATTTGTGCACCTCGCCATTTCGAGGGGGGCTACCTCAGACCTGGTGAATGTAAACATCAATCTTGTCACAACTCATCCTTCGCAAACAGCCGATCACCGGACTGTAATCTCGTTGTGATCTGTACCCAAAACTGTTCGATAAATCCTACAGAACAGCGCATCAGGTAGCCTCGTATGTGCTCGATGTGGTGTGCGTACAAAAACGTCCCTGACCCCTTGCCGCACCTGCAAGAAGTGGAGACCCTCTTACAAACACTGATAGGAGCTGTCCGAGATGACGGACATTCCGGATGCCAAAAAGTAAGTTACTCCGGTATGTGAAAACGAATCGCATCGATCATGATCCTACAAGTCGGAGGCTGATGGTAGGACTGAGGCTCCGCGGATGGCTGTGCCACTTAGTTGTTGGTATTCCGTGATTGTGATTGTAGCGGACGCCACGTAAAGTATGATTATGTACTGTAAATTGTAACTGGTCGCTTCGCGTAGGGCGGGATAGTAAGCCTGACAGTAAGTTGTGCCGAGGGCGCGCCCTAGCATGTTGTTCCCTAACACGCCAAGTCAAAGGCACAAGGAGCAAAGTTTTCCAGTTCCCGGGCATCTGTTAGATAGTAATCCTGTAACGCTGGTTTCACAGCTCATTTGGAGGTGATGCCAGCCCACACGATGGGCTACCGCATGGGGTTGGGCCCGCTGCGGGGAAGGGTCGAGGCTAGGAGGGTAAGCCCACCTGCGCATCTTGAATGACATTCATTACAGTACACTGCGTCTGAAACCATGTCAAGATCGCTCTGTAAGCCAAGAGAGCGGCTATCCAAAGTGTATACACAGGCGAGGTCCGCAACATGATTCGGCGCAAATATCTCGATGCGTGTCCTCGTGATAAGAACCCCAGCTCCCATCACCTGCAGGATACCACACAAGCGCGTTCGATGGTCGAGCGTGTTTAGCGCAGACCTGGTTATCGGAATGATGATGATAGCGTTGGCCGAGACCCGTTGGAAAGATAACCTTGAGGAACACCAGTCCAGCACTCGCTGATTGAGGCGCACGCCGTGTCTTACCATGGCGTTGGCGTGTGCCCCAGTGATTGGAGTGGGTAGGAGGGTCTCCTTGCGTCAGACGCTGTCCTTTGGTCTGATCTGCATTCCAGAGGGTCCACAGTGCATCCACAACACAACGTACAGGCGAAAATTGACAATGGTTCGCGGATGGAGTCAAGTCTGGTTTTGCCCCTGTTGTGATTGCTGCTAGATCCCGGTAATTGCTTCTGCACATGTCCCAAGAGAGCGGAAACATCGACCTCGGGGAAGACGATGGAGGTCGGGTTGTAAGGACAGAGGTGCTGCTTCGAGAACGCCACGCGAAGCCGAAAAGAGAGCCTCAACCGAGGAGGGGCGCATATTCGCCGCCGCTTATCACAGACTAGGTGGGCGGTCCAGCACGTTCATCTCCGTGATTGGCCCCAGCGCAGACTATCAATGCTGGGGAAAGATAAGAACCTGGTCGGGGTTGCAGAAGCGCGGTAGGTCGGCCGGTACTGGGAGAGGTTGACACGAGAGACAGGACCGTGAGCAGCGAGTAAGCGAGCACCAACATGAGACGGTAGATATTCCAGAAAGCGGAGACGACCGGGAGCCAATGGAGCCCTGTACTACTGTGCTCTGGCCATTGCGAAAGAGGAAGTTGCCAAGTGACCGTCCGGAGCCCGTTCAACTGTTTGTCTGGGCCTGCGACGGTGCGATCCCTCCACTTTGGTGGTAGCGCGAGCCACGGTGCGAAAATATAATTCCCGTGAGGGCCGACTCATAGGTGAGAGCCAACAGTTCCTCATCGTTCAACTCTGTTCAGGAATTGCCCTCGTGCCTATTCGTCGCCATGGCCGATGTTCGAGAAATACACACAACGCCCGGTGCTGGTGTCGCCCACAACAACGACCCGGCGCTAGACATTGCTCACGAGCACGAGCATCCTCACGTGCACCACAGCGCGCGTGCAGCCCACCCTGACAACATTGTCTACACCACTGGAACCACGGACGAGAAGACCAGCAAGTTGTTCCAGCCCAGCGCTCTTGACAGCCACCTCCACCAGCGCCATTCTGCAGGTGACGTCGAGAAGGCGGGTGGTTACGACTATGAAGTAGAGAAGGCCACGCGCAGCTCTTCCGACCCTGAGATGGAGGCAGAGAAGAAGCCCTGGTGGACTTCCTTCTCTGCTTTCTACAGGAAATTCAGACTTCCTGTGCACATCTTCCTTGGAGCGCTCTTCACCGGGTAAGGCGCATTTTCGTGTCCATTGTCTCGAGTATTTCGGGCTGACAGTATTAGATGGTGGATTGCCAGTGTGGTCGTGCACCGTCACGACAAGAACTGGATCATTCCATTCTTGTTTTGGCTGGCCATTATGATCCGCCTGATCACTCTCCACATCCCCATTACCGTCGTCACCAAGCCTATGCACTGGGTCTGGGCCAACACTGGAACGAGATTTGCAAACCTCATTCCGGAGAAGCTGCGCATTCCTGCCGCTGCCGCTCTCACTATCGCCGTCATCATTGTTGGATCTTTCGCCAGTGAGGAGAGTGAGGACAACACGCGTGCCAACCGCGCTGTCTCGCTGTTCGGTCTCCTAGTCTTCATCTTCGGCTTCTGGGCGACTTCTCGCAACCGCAGCATGATTGTTTGGCACACCGTCATCGTCGGTATGCTGATGCAGTTTGTCATTGCACTGTTCGTCCTCCGTACCAAGGCTGGATACGACATCTTCAACTTCATCTCCGAGCTCGCACGTCTGCTTTTGGGTTTCGCCAAGGATGGTGTTGCCTTCTTGACAACCCCCGATATTGCGGCCAACACCTACTTCATGTTCAGTGTTATCCCCGCCATTATCTTCTTCGTCTCGTTCGTCCAGCTCTTGTACTACTGGGGTATCCTTCAGTGGTTCATCGGTAAATTCGCTGTCTTCTTCTTCTGGGCCATGCGAGTGTCAGGTGCCGAGGCCGTTGTCGCTTCCGCGTCTCCTTTTATCGGTCAGGGTGAATCCGCCATGTTGATCAAGCCCTTCGTTCCCCACCTTACCATGGCCGAAATGCACCAAGTCATGTGCTCTGGATTCGCTACTATCGCCGGTAGTGTTTTGGTTGCCTACATTGGTATGGGCCTCAACCCGCAAGCCCTGATCTCATCTTGCGTCATGAGTATTCCTGCTTCGCTGGCTTTCAGTAAGCTTCGATACCCTGAGACTGAGGAGACTCTTACCGCCGGTCGCGTCGTTGTACCTGATGACGATGAGCACAAGGCTGCCAACGCCCTCCACGCCTTTGCAAACGGTGCCTGGCTCGGTCTCAAGATCGCTGGTATGATCGTCTCCACACTTTTGTGTATCATTGCCCTTCTCAACTTGGTCGACGGTCTGCTCACCTGGTGGGGACGCTACATCAACCTCGACGGCGACTACGACCTGACTCTTGAGTTGATCCTCGGTTACCTCTTGTACCCAGTTGCCTTCCTCCTCGGTGTATCGCGCCAGGGTAACGACTTGCTTCTTGTGGCTCGTCTCATTGGTGTCAAGGTCATTACCAACGAGTTTGTTGCATTCCAATCGCTTGTCGACGAGGACCCGAAGTCCCCTTACCACACCCTTAGCCCACGCTCGCGCCTTATCGCTACCTACGCTCTCTGCGGTTTCGGTAACATCGGTTCACTGGGTACTCAAATCGGTGTGCTCAGTCAGATTAGTCCCGGTCGCAGCGGTGATGTCTCGCGTCTTGCTCTATCGGCTCTTATCACTGGTGTCTTCTCCACCTTGTCAAGTGCATCGGTTGCTGGACTTGTGGTCCTTGACGGATCCAACTTCAGTTCAGGCTCATAGGTTTCGAGCTGAAGTCGTATGAATTAGTGCATTGCTGAGGATCCACTGTTTGGTGGTCCTAAAATATTATGTTAGTAAGCTGTTCGGTGTAGAAGATACCCATCTAGTAGTACATGGATCCTGATAAGGAATGAATACCCTCACTTCAAAATTCTTCCGCAAAAACTATGATTGCTTTGAAAAACAGAAGTGCTACGAATGTTCTGTATCCAAAATAACGGGGTATTGACACAATATGACCTGAATTCTTCGCCCTTTGACAAGAATGCTACCTTGGCATCGCCCTTTTACACACGACATGTTGCCTCAATTTGGTTAGCGTGTCCAAAAGTGGTAGTCCCTTCAAGCCTCACAACATTGTAATCTCGCTTCTGAACTCGTGTCCGCTTGTACAAAATGATGCCATAATATTGAAGATGTGGTCATGGATCGGAGAAACCCCGTTCCGTGTTTTGTGCAAAATATTATTTCGCCCCTCTGTTGTCGATGCGATATGGCAGCCATTGGTGAGTGTATGCCAATGAGTGTATGCCAATGAGTGTGACGGCTATTACGATGTTGGTGTTTCCAGAGTGTCGTTTGCGCCTATGAGAGAGCCTGCGTTGAAATATATTGTGATTCTAGTAAAATAAGACTGGGTCATGAAGGAAGGTGCGGTTAGCTGTGCTGGTATTCGCTCCTGCTTCTCCAAGCTTGAGAGAGCGCCTTCGTACCACGGACGCCCTGTCAGTGCGCTCAAGCAACCTGCATGTCATCGTCTCAATCGTTCAACTTAATCTGGAAATATCTCATGTGTTTTGCACTCAGTGTAGATGGCGCACTAGGGTTCAACGCTCATTACGCGCTACTAAAGATTTCGATGCACGATGCATTAGCGACCTGTCAACGACGAGGTTGCTCTGACTGTCCCCGGTCAAAATCCCCAACGCTATCAGATGCAATACCAACGCGATTTGGCATCTGGGGCTGGCAATCCCGCCAAAAAGATAAGAAGTGGTTGACATCCAATAACCGGTCACAGATGGCAGTTAAGCGAAGACACTAACATCGCCGTTGGAAGCTTGACAGAGAGCAACAATCGCTTTTTCCGCCCTCCAACGTCTTTCCGGCATCTTGTCATCGAGATGCTAAGGCTTGGCCTATGGCTTGTCGCAGGTCGTGACTGGTATACTGCAAGTATGCGAACACTTGCCTCCCTTGATATCATAATCTGCTCGCAGCTCCTGACGGTTGCGCTCTATTTATCGCGAACAGCTAGCTGCCCAACCCGGAGAATCACAAAGCCGTACGAATCTACGATTGGTCCCAGCTCGCGCTGAGTAAAAGGTGTCACACAAAAAATCGCATCTTATCTACATTGTTCCGCCGCGTTATCGGGCCATGCCGGGGTGCGAAGATCGTTTCCACTCAAGACATGCGCCCTGCTGTTGCTCAACCCCACGAAAGCCGCCTGAACCATGCAGAAAGTCTAATACAACGGCCGCGATCGCTGCCAACGTCAATTATCATCCGCCGTTATGCACGCTAGCCTTATGGCTGGCTATGCTTGCCTTGTGCGACCGGCAGATGAACGGTAGTGTTCTGGCTTTATCTTCGTCGACGTCCTCATCTAAACGTTTTGTGCCGTCGGCCTCTGACTGAAGCTTTTTGCATTGACTTTGAAGCGGTGCTTGGTCGTGAGCTTAAATATATCTAAGCTTCTCGTACCTCCTCTGGTGTAGCACTCCCTACCTGCTGACTGCTACAACCTTCCACCTTCGGGTCTTTTGTGCTCGCCCAACATGAGTACACCTCCGCCGCTGAGCCAAGGTTTTGGCTATGGCATTGTGATAGGTTTAGGTTTTGCCTTCTCGTAAGTGTCAAGTCTCCTTTCAAAAGACCTTCGCTAAATTGTCATAGATTTGGCATGATCTTGACGACATTCGTGCTGAAGAGATACAACTATGAGCTCCAAACTTCCGAAATGTTCTCAACCGCTGGTCGTACAGTGAAATCAGGACTTGTTGCCTCAGCCGTAGTATCATCCTGGACATGGGCAGCTACACTTCTCCAGTCCAGCGCTGTTGCCTATCGATATGGTGTATCCGGCCCTTTCTGGTACGCCTCGGGAGCCACTGTTCAGATTATTCTGTTTGCTACAATCGCTATCGAACTAAAGCGAAGAGCTCCTAACGCGCATACGTTCCTCGAGGTTATCAGGGCTCGGTATGGTGCTGTAACACATATTGTTTTCATGGTCTTTGGCCTCTTCACCAACATTCTTGTTACTTCTATGTTGTTGACAGGTGGTTCTGCTGTTGTGACTTCTGTAAGTGTATTCCTAATGTGAGTCCATTCTCGAACTAACATGTGAAGCTTACTGGCATGCACACTGCAGCTGCCTGTTTCCTTCTACCAGTTGGTGTAGTGTTATACACCATGTTCGGAGGCATCAAGGCTACCTTCTTGACTGACTATGGTATGTCTCCTCTACCCTGAGTTGTAGGAGAGGATCGCTAAATTCTAATTCCAGCACACACCGTGGTCATTCTGATCATCCTCTTGATGTTTGCTTTCACAGCATATGCGACCAACGAGAATCTTGGGAGCCCTGGCAAAGTTTTCGACCTGTTGGTACAAGCCGCATCGGATCATCCTGTTGAAGGAAATGCCGGTGGCTCTTATCTGACCATGCGCTCGAAGGAAGGTGCCATCTTCTTCGTGATCAACATTGTGGGTAACTTCGGTACTGTTTTTTGCGACAACGGTTACTACAACAAGGCCATTGCTGCCAGTCCTGTTGATGCGCTGCCCGGATACATCATGGGTGGTTTGTCCTGGTTCGCGATTCCGTGGCTAGCTGCTACCACAATGGGTCTCAGTGCCATCGCCCTCGAAAACAACCCAGTTTTCCCAGGCTACCCCAACCGTATGGCTGATGCTGATGTGACAGCTGGACTTGTGTTGCCTACAGCGGCTGTTGCATTGATGGGATCAGGAGGCGCTGCAGCGGTGTTACTTCTCGTCTTCATGGCCGTGACATCGGCCATGTCTGCGGAACTCATCGCTGTGTCCTCGATCTTCACATATGATTTCTACCAGGTAACCATACTTCTGCACTAGACAGAAATGATTCGCTGACACACTCTAGACTTATATTAATCCCAAAGCTACCGGAAAGCAACTCATCTACATGTCACACACTATGGTTGTCGGCTTCGCTGTCGCGATGGCAGCATGGAGCACAGGACTTTACTACATCGGCATCAGTATGGGATATCTATACCTACTTATGGGCGTAATCATCTCGTCCGCCGTTCTTCCCGCCACCCTCACACTAATGTGGTCAAAAATGAATTGGGTAGCAGCAACCTTCACCCCACCCCTCGGTTTCGCCTGTTCTCTCGTCGCCTGGCTCGTAACCGCCCAGAAGGAAAGTGGAGAGTTGACGGTCCTCACAACCGGTGCCAACAACCCCATGCTAGCAGGCAACGTCGTCGCTCTGCTTTCGCCCATCATCTTCATTCCCGTATTCACATATGCCTTCGGCCCCCAAAACTACGATTGGCAGAGCATGAAAGCCATTCGCAGAGGCGACGACCACGATCTCGCACTCGCCGCAAACGTCGACATAGAACGAATCCCTGGTGAGCAACGACGCGCCATCCAAGCCGAGGAGGAAGAACAGGCCAAGTTACTCAAAGCCTCGCGTATCGCGCGCTGGTTAACCCTCTTCATGGCGATCTCTTTCCTCGTACTGTGGCCTATGCCTATGTACGGGTCTTCGTACATCTTCAGCAAGAAGTTCTTCACAGGCTGGGTTGTAGTCGGAATCCTGTGGATGTTTTGTTCGTGTTTCGCAGTCGGGTTGTATCCGCTTTGGGAGGGAAGGAAGACTAGTGTTCGGACTTTCAAGTCAATTTGGGCCGATGTCACAGGCAGGAAGAAGCCTGGGAAGGGGCCCCAGGTTGTGGAGGGCGAAGGGTCGGATACGCCGCCTGAGGCCATGGAAGAGAAGACGGTGAAGGAGTAAGCACAGGTAGAAAGACGTTGACGCAGTATTGTAAGTCTCTCGGGAATGGTGAATACCGTAAAACAGCTCCGCAGTGTCGGTTGTTGCAGTAATAGTACCATAATTGTAAAAGATTCGAAGAAGTTCAAATATGTTAATGTTTTCATTTTATCCAAGATCAAACGCCTGCCCATGTTCCCAGATGTAACACCTTTCCAAGCGCGTCAAAGCGCAGTGATTAAACCATGACAAGAAACTCCCTCGAAAGACTATAGACCGAGTCCGTCTTTTCCCAATATTCGTAGATGTCATGAACTTCGTTGTCCATGGGACGCTCGAAAAGCCAGTTATAAAATTCTCAACGCCTTGCAATGCTTCCGAGACGCCTCGCTTGCTGAATGTGGACAAAAAAGCCATGATAAGACCCAGTTGTACGCTTGACAGATGTTCCGAGGGTAGATGTGGAGAAGCCTTCCCCGTGTGAAATGGGGGAGAGGATCGCGTCACATACCCAAACGAGATGTGATACTTACCAACTTACCGTTGCGCGTAGAGTCGGATGAATAACACCAGCTCCATTGCGCAAGCCGGTAGTTGTAATGTCCGTGCTAGACACTTATGATTTGAGCCTACTACTCCTTCTAAATTCACAATTCCGATGTGAACTCTGTGGTCGAATGTAGTGACCTAACGAATGGTCATCTGCTTGGTGGCGCTGGGCTTCATGGAAGCAGAGCCAGCAGCGGCAACGGAAGGCTGGCCGGGCTTCTTCTCAAAGATCTTCCAGAACTTGAGGGACTCGTCGGCAGCGGCGGTGGCAAGCATCTGACCATCAGGGCTGAGGCAGCTGTGGAGGACACGAGACTCATGGGCAGGGATCTCAGTGTTCTTGACACCGGAGGGGTAGCTCCAGACACTCAAGCTGTTGTCGGGGAAGCCACCGGTGCTGACAATCTCCTTGTAGTGGGTGCTCCAGCGCAAGCTGGTGACCTGGGAGTCGGTAGGAATGTGGTTGATGCGAGCACCAGTAGTGGTGTTCCAGAAGTAGATTTGACGGTCATTGGAACCACCGCCGGTAGCAAGCAGGTTGGATTGCCATGGGCACCATGAGACAGCCTTGACAGCAGCACGGTGGTTGGTCTTGGTGAACTTGGGAGCGGCAAGCGCGCGAGCATCCCAGATGTTGACCATGTTGTCGTTGGCGCCAGTAGCGAGCTGGGCACCATCGGCGCGCCACTCAAGACCGCAGACCTCTCCGGTGTGGGAGACGAGCTCAGCAATCTTGTGTTGTGCGACGCGAACGTCATGGTTGTACACAAGACCAGAGCGGGCACCGGTGGAGAGGATGTGCTTGTTCCATCCCATAACACCAACGCGGGTCTCGTGGCCGAACATGCTACGAAGCTTGGTCTGCTCCTCAACATCCCAGATCTGAACCTCGCCCGTGCCGAGACCAACACCAACGTAGGCACCATCCCCAGACCACTTGACGGATGAGATGTAGGTGTCAGCAGGGCACTCAAGGAGAGAGGCCACTGAGCCGGAGTCAGCAGACCAGACGTAGACTGAGCGCTCAAGACCGATGGCGACCTGGTTACCGGAAGACCAGTCAAGAAGGTTGAGGTAGTAGTCATCGACAAGACCAGGAGCATCGAGGACGCGCTCAGGTGCTGATGGGATGCGACGACGGCTCTGTGCATTGGCGGCGCTAGTAGGCTTGAGGGGACGGTTGTATTGCGAGCGAAGGTCGATGGGCTTGGACGACTCAGGTGGGGCAGGCTTGAAAGCAAGAATGCGAGTGTTTGTGTTGATGCCACATGCCGAGGCGAGTGTGGACTGGTATGCGGCCTGGCCAGGAGCAGGCTTTGATTTTGATCGGCTCTCCTCGTCGTCGTCCTCGAGGCTCAGACCCTCCAAGGAGAGTGTGACGTCCTCCTCTGACCCACGGCCACCGAGATCGAAAGCACTGGCGGCGTTGGCAAGCACGGTTGAGCCCTCCTGCTTGGAGCTAGACTTGGGACGCTGTTCAACATCGAGCTTGGCGGCACCGACACTGCGGATGCCCTCGCTTGCCGTCCGGTTGGGGATGAAACGGTCGGCAGCGTTGTAGGCAATGCGGGTCTTGGTAGGGCGAGCGCGAATAGCAGCCGCCGCCTCCTTCTTCTCCTTCTTTGCCTTGGCCGCGGCAGCAGTACCGGATCCAGTGAGGGCCCACTCTGATACACCGAGTTCTAACCGGCGGGGAGTGTGTGTGTGGGAGCGAGCAATGTTGGACTTGGGGGAGTCGCGGGTGGTCTTGGTGACGGAGCGCTGGATGCGGGACTTGAAGTCGTTGCCATGGATCGACTCGTGTGCCTGCACATCGGAAGTCTGAGTGCGTGGGGTGCGAGGGGAGGGTGTCAGTGGTATCCGACCGCCGGCGGTACGGGTGTTGAAGACTGCAGAGCGCTTCTTGACCGGAGTCACGCAGACTGCTGTGCTTGCCATGACTGCTGGTCTCTTGCTGAACTGGGTTAGTTGGGTTCTTAGTACGTGGACATTGGTTGATGGCATACAGTATATGGGTTGGTTTCTGCTATATGTTGTAAGGATTAGTATAAGACAATGCTGTAATCGATGCTGTCAAGTATGGATTCGAAAGTAATTCAGTGGTTTGCACTCTGGAGATGGAGATGCAGGGTTGTGCGGCTGGTAGAGTGTGTGGCAGTGGACATGTACGAGGGCAGGTATGAGGACGTTTAAGTATCCTTTGTTTACGCTTGCGTTGACCAGGTAACCGAGACAGGACCCAGACAGGACCCTGCGCGAGGCTGGCTGGACGACGGAACACTGGCCTCATGACATCACATGATGGTGTCCGGTTTATGAATCAGCCTGCATAGTCGCCGTGCCTCCGCATGGCCTTGCTTTTGCGTGCAGCCCCGATGATGGCTATGGCTTCATGGTGTCTCGTCGTGCCAGGCTGCGACGCATCAGCATAGTTGCACCTGGTCGCATACTCGCTGCCACTGATGGCCCGACGAGGTATTACCAATTGTGCATTGAATCTAGGAAAACTTAGTGCTCAGTGGCCAACTCTCGGGTGGCTCGCTACTACTCCTGTGGCCGTGGCAGGGCTGAGTCGTCGTGGGTCGGCGCTTCCGGTTCGAGCTAGGGCGGTGACGGGCGGCAATATGCACGGCCAGCCAACTCAACTTCCTCCCGTCAAACATTCTCGCAGCCTAGACAAAGGCCATCCCTGCCCACTGGGGCTTCTACCACCAAACTAACCTCACCAACTTCACCGCGCACGATCCATGGCACAACCACCCGCTCGATCCGCTTTCCCGTCCAACATCCTCAACCCCGCCCTTACCTCGACACCCTCGCCCAGCCTCTCGCATACGAACACGCCCGGGTCCGCCAGTTCCACCAACAACACGTTCCTCATGTCTGCGAGCCCCGTCCGAAGCCGTCGATCAGCCGTAGAAGGCTACAAGCCCAAGATGATTTCGACAATTGGCGCCAAGCCCGCCTGCCTCGTCAATGCCTCCGTGACATATGTTGGCGATGACCAGATATACGCCTTTGGAGGCTTCGACCAGTACACCGACGAAGTATACAACCACGTGCTTCGTTTGAACCTCGTTACACGGCAATGGAACCTGGTCGACAACTACGGCGACATTCCAGGCGTACGCATGGGTACGTGCTCACCGCTCCAGTTCCACACAGTACTTGTATCTTGACTGACACCCCATCCTAGGACACACTGCATGCCTTTGGCAAGGCAACAAGCTCCTCGTATTTGGCGGAGAAAATGAGCACCGCCAGCATCTTGCCGACGTTATTGTATTCGATCTCAAAACCGCCCATTGGACGCAGCCCGAACTCCACGGGCCCATACCTCGCGGCCGTGCGCGCCACTCAGCTGTTATATATGACGACAAATTGTACATCAGCGGTGGCCAGACTGGGCATGATAGCGTGCTAGACGACATCTGCTACCTTGACCTGAAGACATGGACCTGGTCTCGGACATGGAAATTCGTCCCTCGCTACGACCACGCCAGCTGGATCTGGAACGGTCGCATCTGGATATTCGGCGGCATCAACGATGACATGGAAAAGAACAATGAGATCTGGTGGCTCGATCTCCGCGGTAGCCCAGAGTTTGACCATGCAATGAAATATGGGACGGGCGACCGGCAACTCATCTCATCCCGACATCGTTACCCTGTCCCGGCTTCTGGCCAGCTCGCGACTGGCAGTACAGGCTACACTGCAAATTCCAGCGTTCAGTCGTACCACGGAATGGGTTCAAGTCGGTCACCCTATGTTGCGCCTGGATCCATTTCGTCTCTCAGATTCCATTCCAGTCCAAATCTACCATCACAGGCCGCGGGTACGCATTTCCACATCTTCTCATCTGGCTGCATGCTGGACTTTGTCACTCCGGCAGAGCTGAGTTGCGAGACGAGCTTGTCTAGTCTGGAGCTAGACACTTTGCGATGGCAGAAGCTCGCCGACGGAAAGGATCTTTACAGCCCCAACTACCGCTGGCACTATTGCACCACCAATCCTGAAGGAACACATGCATGGCTTCTGGGCAGCCCAATTGAGTCGGCCAACGATGGGAACCATAATGGTGAGTATCTTAGCGACGTTCTCGCCATCGACCTCCGCAAGTACGGCATCCTGGGTAACGAGCTGGCCTCGGACACGCGCTCCAAGATGATGCCCTCCTCTGACGCCAATGTTTCTTCGCATCTCACCGGCATTGGTGCGGATCTGTCCCTGACGTTCGACCAACCACCGGAGAGTGGCAGCGGCGCAGACTTCATCATAACGGCGGATCCTGATGATGATGATTATGTGGATGTTGCAACACCAGATCCCAATGGCTCGTCAACGGCTGTGAGTCCAGTCTCGCGGCCGATACACGTCCACAAGCTCATTCTACATGCTCGTTGGCCTCATTTCGCCCGTCTATGGAGCGCCCAGATGGCTGAGTTCCATTCGAAGAAAATGCATATCCCGGAGCCATACTCGGCAGTTCGGGCGTTCCTGTTCTACCTGTACACCGACAGTATTGCGCCGAATCCGCAGAATGGACCCAGCCTGAACGATGTGGCCGGCATGCTTGTCATGTCAAACATCTACGACATGCCTCGTCTTCGCCTGCTCTGTGTAAACCGTTTAGGCCGGGAGCTCGACATCGAGCACGCTGCCACAATCTGGGAGCGTGCTGCTACTGCTGGAGAGGACTGGCTCAAGCAGCGAGCAGCGACGTTCTGTATGCAAAACTTTGGTAGAATCGTCCGCACAGCAGGCTATCGTAGTCTCAGTCCCGCAAGCTTGATTGAGCTTAGTTGTGAGGCTACCCCAGAAGCGCGTGTCGTCGGTGGGGAAGATCTGGATCTGCTCAGCCAGCTTACCGGCCGCTCCTTTGGTGGTAGTAACCGCAAGCGGAGCTTGGGTAGCGCGGGCGTTCTCACTGCTGGGGAAGATGATGGCGAGGACGAGGTGGAAGATGATGGTATGGATGTGAACTAATCTTCTCTGGCAACTTGATTTTCCTGCTTTGTATCGTACTTCACAAGCATATTGGCGCGGCGTTGGTCACTTGGAGGGTAATTCGGAGGCGTCTCCCGGTCGGATTTGATATATGCATCGCGTGGGCGCGCAGAGATTCTGGGGACGGTGTTTGAGTTCATGGTCCTTTTTTTTGATGGCACGCACTCACGATAACATGATTGCATAAGTATTATACCGCTATATAGATACATCAAGTTCTACTTCCGCTACTTTGGCTCGGTCCACTAGCCATATCGAATTCTTCGTCCGCCTTTCTGCTCTAGCATCTGGCAACTTACTGATATCCCCTTTCGTTCTGCGTAATGAATAGCATCCCGCCCATTGATCTTGGTACAATTATTCGCTTTGATGCTCTGCAGCGTTGGAAGCCTATCCGCCAGCATCTTGATGGACGCTCCTGTGATATTAGTATGAGACAAGTCGATCGTCTTGAGTCCCGTCTTATAGGTGAGAAGTGCCTCGATTTCATCGTCGTCGCATTGCATGGTAGATATATCCAAGGACTCAAGCGCTGGTGTGAGAATCCGCGGTGATTGACCTAATATCGAGTTTTGACTCAGCGGAGTAAACAATCGGCTGTTGTCATCGAGTAAGCCGTGTAGTGACAATGAATGAACGGCTTTCTCCGACAAGCATTTATGCGTTTCGCCGTTTTGCATACCGCATTCTAGTAGAATTTCTATTCCGTTCGCATTTGCATTGAGGCCGTCGAAGCCAGATATGGTCAAGTCTGTAAGCTCTGGGACACAGCACTGCTTCAAGCTCCCAAAGTCTGTTAAATTCAAGCTCCCGTGGCTGCCATTGTTGTCAAGAACAAGTCGCTGTAGTGTTGGTGGCAGCAATGGGAAGCCTTGAAGGTCCACCCGTTTCAACACTAGACTCTTTAGCGGCGGCAGCTGTGTCACTTCTCTGGGCCACCCTTGTCCGAATTGAAAGCCTTCCATGTTGGAGAGTGACAAGTTTTCAAGGCATGGTGTACGGCTCAGCAATTCGGTGAGTCCGAAATGAGTCGCCATGATCTGATGACTCCAGTGTATGCTAAGTGTTCGGAGGTTTCCAAATGAGATTGCCCAGTTAGTGGCGGATCCCAAGCCACTTGACGAGCTTGCCACTCCCCTCGTTGAGTTGAGGACTAGGTGCTCCAGCGCAGGTCGAGCATGCATTATCTCCACAGCAGATACCCCGCGAATCTCCGGATGTATGATGAGCGTCTTTAGATTTGGAGCACCCTTGACAATATCGAGTAACATAGCCGGCATGGTATGTGGTAGAGAGATGAGCTCCATTTCTGAAAGGTCCTTGGCGGCCTTCGCAAGGTTCTTGATGACGTCCAAATGTTCGAAGCGATGCACAGTGACGCGTGTCATGCGGAACTCTGAGCGTTTGAAAGCGATATTGATAAAGGAGCGGGGAACGGGTCTGCGAGCACCGGAAAGATCGAGGTGCATCCAAAGCTTGGGCAGCTTAGAGAGATAGTCCCGCCAGCCTTTGCTGACGCGCATGCAATTGACCATGTGGCGGAAAGAACAATATTCCAGTACCATCTCCGCTAACTCAGCAGGCAAGACTGTCAATGGGTCGATGGCTGATGCAGGTGATAGTTTGCGTGTTTGCTTGTCGTGGAGTTGTTGCAATAGCTAGTAGCAGTCAGTCACGTCACTGAAGTGAAAAGCGAACAGCATCCATTCTTTGATGAGAAAAGTAACAGGGCAATTGAGCTCTCCTTCAGGTTGACAACGGAAGTACTGCCTCCAAACGAACCGGAAGACAGGACAGGATCACATCACATACCTTGAAGTTCTTGTCGCTAACTGGCACATTCTTCATACCATACTTATAGATCCCAAGGGCTGTCTCGGGCTTTTCCATCTTCTCTAGCACACTTGCCGTGCGCAAATATCCTTTGACGTCCTTCTTGTTCAACCTGATCATCTCTCGGCCGTCTTTGACAGCAGCATTAAAATTGCCTAGTTTATCGTACGTAGCAGCCCGATGATCATACAATTCTGCGGTTGGGCAGGACTCGATGCCTTTTGAGAATGTTTCCAAGGCCTTTTCATACTGCTTGAGCTTATAGTAGCTGCGACCAATTTCCTGGTACTCTTCTGGTAGCATTGTGCGAGCCATGATGGTCAGAGAAATGTATCCCAAGTAGGCCGATGTTGGACCGTAAATGGCTATTCTGATCGCGCAAAGCGAAGTGGGCTTATAGCACAGCAATAGTCAAACCCAGGGTAAATTGTCTAGTTGCGCAGAGATCGTCCGGCAAGGCCGCGCATTCACGAAATTAATCGTTCTGAAAAAAGGAAATGGATATTCTTCGGAAATTTGTAGGTCGTTTCTATCCGTAGGTCTTTCGTGTGGAAAACGTGATGTACCAGTTGCGGTGTCGAAACGCGTAAGTGATGTGCTGAAGTACTGGCGACGCGTCGTAGACCCATCGCGCTAAAATGGCCAGGGCGGCTTGTGCGCACTGGCCTCATCTTCCGTTGAGCTTGCTAATTCAGGCACCAATATTGTCCGCATCAACAAACACCAAGGCCAACGATCTGCATCACCCGCGATAGTGTTGATGTCTTGTTCTCTTCGCAGAGTGATACGTAATCGGCGGCGCTTGACGCTCGCTACCCAGATGCTAGTCTCACATCGGCACCAGCAACTAAGCTTACTATGTGACCACACTTTATGTGTGACACTAGCAGCATGATGCTGAATTCACTAACACGATACGGATTGATTATCTACAGGACCGACTGTCTTTCGTTACAAGGTCGCCACTAATCCGCTGGCGATTTACGAAGGTGTTTGAACTGTAACAACTTGCAATATTGAAAAGGAGAAGTAAAGTCGATACTAGGAGGGAGCTCGTGTCTAATTGAGCTACGACTAAACATACCGAAGCCTGAAAATACTCGCGGTACGTTATGCCAACATACGTTCGTGCTGAACCTACTGAATACCTTTAAGCCATATGATCACTTTGGTGCAACTCGTGAAAACGAGCTTCTTGTTACAGAAGTGCCGACTACCAAACGAAAAAGAAAAGCATCTAGGCTTGCTCTTCGCCTGGGCCTGGAAAAGCATACCAAGCGTCTTAGATTTACAGACAAGAACCTGGAAGATTGTTTCTGCTGATATTGTGAAAGACATGTGAAAGTCAGCTACGAGGAAAAGGAAAAGGGCCGTTCCGTGGATGGAAGAGGGACATGGCAGATGCACCGAGATATTGCCTCGGTCAATCGCCGGTGCAGACGTGGGAACGAACGAGGTGGGAATGAGAGAGTTCAAGGCGTCCAAGCCCGGACTCTCGTCCGCCCCTGGATCCGCTGTTCTGCGACTAGCATTGGCAACCACTGGGCGATGCATGTTTGACCTAGTGATTTTAGCGATGGTGGGACACATGACTGTTGAGGAGGAGTAAATCCTGGAGATGGTGGGATCTCCGCATTGTCTTGGGACATCGGATGGAATTATCGGACATTGGCAGCATCCTTCGCACATTGGCTATGTCTTGGAATCGGGTTGAATAAGTCCCTCCGACCCTGCGTCGGAGGTCGAATCAGTCGGGGCAGTAGTACGCCTTTATGCGGAACAGTGTTTGCACCGCCGTCATAATACAGTGGACCTGTCATCTATATGCAGCGCTCGCATCGAGCGGAGACCCCAGAGCTAGGACATCACACCAAACCATCCTTCAGTTTGATCTTCGCCGTTTTCCCCAGTCCCAGAGTCCTGGCAATGGGGTTCACGATGATGACCAAGTGGGATCAAAGCAAGCGATTCTGTGGAGGTCACTCATAACCATGATGCATAATCAAAAGCTATTGGCGGATTTTGGAACGACCCTGCGTTCAAGGAAGTGCTAGAAATGTGGAGTGCGATTATCAGTATGATTATCAATACGGCATTTGAATAAAGCGGAGACCCCGACATTGGACGGCGCTTCCGGTGACAAACTGGAGAGTATGTCACTTGGCAGGGACACGTGCGACAGCGCGGTATAGTGTGCGCCGAAGCGGATGTAAAGACGGTGTTTAGGCAGTAATATGTGGAGTTACCATGTCGTTGGTGTATTTGGCGTGTTTTAGCACACGATATGGGAGCCGTCTTTTCCGTGAATGTGGTATGCTTGCGGGAGCAAAGTTTGGGGCGGATTGATGGGGTGCTGGAGAGATCCGCACAATTTTGTTGGGCCGTGGGGTAAATGGGTCAATATGGAGAGTTGTCGCATGTATGCATGCTATTGTTCAGAGCATTCATTGGTACTGTTTTGTCCCGCGCGGTTGATGAAAAGGAGGGAGTTGGGACAGAGCAGTCAGCACGGATAGCCCGAAACAGGAAGGCCCGAGATCTGCACAATGAGAGCCTCATCCCCACGCTAGGCTTGGGAACTCCACACGAGCCTCTCCCGACTGCTAAGCATGTGCATTGGCAACTTATCCCGCCATGGCAGAAAGCGCGATTATCGCATACTGCTCGCAACGTCGGCCAAGGCGATCAACCGCACGGCGAGGTTTTGTAGGAACGATGTAAGCAAATGAGGATGCTGACCTCAGTGGAAAAATCTATTTGGGTAGCAAAGGCATACCTACGTCCAACCTCGGGAACCTACAAGGCTCACATGAAGCACACCGCCATCACGTGCAAGGAATGTCTCCTCCCGGCCGGCAGTCGTCTCCGAGCTTCAATTCCGCCCGATGTTCGTCTGCACTCCATGTCACACGTTAGGTAGCGGGCCCGACATCACAGCACGCATCGTCACCGTTGCAGAACATGGCGTGTTTAAGCTCCACCACACACGGTCCTTATTAGTTAAGATCTTCGGCCAAGTCGCAGAGGCTGCAGAGCCGCATGCGCACGGTTGGTCAGACCCTGCATGGGGACGGACGCGAGTCGCCGGTGCATGACGTCAAGCGTGGTCTTGTTGAGATCGAAACCGTGCCGTATAGGAAAACTTAGGACGCTATCCATACACGGCGGCATGTAACCCGAGACGGCGCCCTTGATGACTGGCGGCATGCCAATGAACGCTGAGTTCCTGCATCATCTTGACATGCACCTGCGTATCGTACGTTCGACGACAGGCGACTCGGCGTGGCGTAGTGCGCGAAGAAACTTCTTCCATGATTCTCGAATGTCAGGCGAGCCAGCCGTTCACCACTCGTTCAACCTTCATCTTTCCGCTGGGGCTCCCCAGCATCACCCCAAGCCTTGCACACATGACGTAATGTGGAGGAAGACCTCGGGCTAAGAGAAGAGGCATCCAGTGCCGAGCGCGCTTGTTGGTTTGCAAGCGTCCTCCGCTCTTCTCCAAGATTGGCCCAAGATGCCCTTCTCCACCAACAGACCCCTGCTAAGTTCGCCTTGTACCCACAGTTTATTTGCGCCTCTACCGCCATCAACAAGGCTCGCATTATTGCTACACCAGCCAAGGCCAAGATGTTGGAAAAAAATCGTTATCTAGTTTTCTCCACGCGTCAGTCGTACCTTGGTAGCGTATCTTTTAGTGGGCCGAGGGTAGACGACCAGCAACCACGTTTTGGCCGAAGACCCTTGTGCTGGTACTGCGATGATCATTTAAAGGTGTACTCTCTCCCCACGGATCTTTCCTCCCCAGCATCTCCTCACATCTCTCCAGCTTTGACTGATACATTGCAACCATGCCGCCACGTATCAAAGAGTCCGAAAATGGTGTTCCCACCTACTGGGGCCAATCCGGTAGGATGCTCCAGGTCCTCATCACCATCGTTGCCGTTACCGATTTCCTTCTCTTCGGTTATGATCAGGGTGTTATGAGTGGTATCATCTCCGCCCCTGCCTTCGTCTCTGCCTTCCCCGAAGTCGATGGCGATTCCACCTACGAAGGTTTCGTCGTCTCCATCTATGCCGTCGGTTGCTTGCTTGGCGCCATCTTCGTCTTCGTCTTTGGTGACAAGCTCGGACGCCGCAAGAGTATCTTCCTCGGTGCCGGAGTTATGATCATTGGTGTCATTATCCAAATTGCCTGTGTCCCTCCATCCAGTGGTGCCACCGCCCAGTTTATTGTCGGACGATGCATTACTGGTGTTGGCAACGGTATCAACACTTCCACCATTCCCACCTACCAGGCTGAGTATGTTCCGTTCCAACCCATCTCCCAGGGTCTTTTGCTAACTGCTTTCTAGATGCTGCAAGGCTAAGAACCGCGGTAAGGTCATCTGTATCGAAGGTTCCATGGTTGCCATTGGCACGCTCATCGCCTACTGGATCGACTACGGCTGTCTATACGGCCCCGATGACTTCACCTGGAGATTCCCCATTGCATTCCAGTGCGTCTTCGCCGCTATCGTCATCGTCATGATGATCTCGCTTCCTGAGTCTCCCCGATGGCTCCTCAACCACCACCACGAAGATGAAGCCGCTACTGTGCTGGCTGGTCTCAATGGAGTCGCCCGCGACGACCAAGAGGTTATCATCCAGATGCAAGTCATCCGTGATGCTGTCAACTCCTCTGGTGGTGGTGGTAAGGTCCCAACCAAGGCTCTTCTGACTGGCGGAAAGTCTCAGCACTTCCGCCGTGCTATCCTCGGTGCCTCCTCGCAGTTCATGCAGCAGTTGTCTGGATGTAACGCTGTCATCTACTACTTCCCTATTCTCTGCCAGAGTGCGTTGAACACGACCCACAACCTCGCCCTTCTTCTCGGAGGTGTTAACATGGTTGTCTACGCCCTCTTCGCCGCCACCTCATTCTACTTTGTCGAGCGTGTTGGCCGTAGAAAGTTGTACCTGATCGGTACCGTTGGCCAGATGACTGCCATGATCATCACCTTTGCTTGCCTGCTTCCCGGAGGTGTAAACAACGAGAACAACGAGGGTCCTGCCAAGGGCGCCGCTGTCGGTCTCTTCCTGTACATTGCCTTCTTCGGTGTTACCTGGCTTCCTCTTCCCTGGTTGTACCCTGCCGAGATCAACCCCCTCAAGACCCGCCAGAAGGCCAACGCATTTTCAACGATCAACAACTGGCTATGGAACTTCTTCATTGTCATGATCACCCCTGTATTGATCACCAACATCGGCTGGGGTACTTACCTCCTCTTTGCTGCCCTGAACGCTTCCTTCATTCCCGTCATCTACTTCTTCTACCCCGAGACTGCTGGTCGTTCCCTTGAGGAGATCGATCTCATCTTCGCCAAGGGCTACACTGAGAAGATGAGCTACGTGCAAGCCGCTAAGCAGCTGCCCAAGATGGACGAGGCCCAGATTGCCGAAGCCGTTCGCCAGTACGATCTCTCTGACAGCGACATTGAGAACCGCTCTGCGGCTGGATCGCTCAAGGAGAAGCGTCAGCAAGATGAGGAGCTCATGCCTCAGGCAGGCGGACAGATGTAAAATCCCAATATTTGCAATGGCGAATATTTGAGCGCTGGTCGTACACGATTGCGATAGAGCGCGCTGTGTGCGCTTCAGTATCGGCGAGCCGATGTTTGTTATGCATAATGCCTGGAGGAATTATACCCGACGCGCAGTCGTCAACCCATCTAGGTTCGAGATGCATGGAGAAGTTTGTTAGGTCGCATGCTTGAATGTATGTGGGATTTCTTTTTATTATTATTGCTGGTTTTGCAGAGCGCGCATTATACCATAGAACGGCAAATGTCGTCAAGCCATAGATATCTATGATCATGTTTTACATCTTAAACTTTTCACCATGAGTACATGATCAATGTTGTGGTGAGGTTCTGTTGCAAATGACGGACAGAACTGTGAGACTTACCATTATGACTTCGCTCTTTACTATGCAACTCTACAATTGCTAATTCGTGTTCACATAACGCTTTGAAGTGGCTGCACAAGAGTGTGGTTGTTGTCGCTGCCTCAAGGTTGATTCCAAGGTTCGCCGCGCGCACGTGCCTTGGCATTTCGGAAACGTTCCGAGATATGACACTTGTCTTTCGATCTTCAACATCGCACTCTCGCGTCCCCTACCTGCAACTGAGCGACATGGCGAAAGCGAGTGTCTCGTTGGACACGCTGGGTCCATTCTTGGTCTGGCAGTTTCTTATACCAGTGGTAAGCATAGGCCTTAGACTTTTGCCCTAGCAGGGCCTGACGCGACAAAGGCAGCAGGATGGACTCAATCAGTCCTCTACAGCATCTTCATTCGCGCCGGCGACCCTAAACCGCAACCTGGCACTCCACGCTACATCAAGCATCGCCGCAATATTCTAATAGCCATATATGCGGCCTATTTTGCCTTTACCATCTACGAAGTCGACTTCAACCTCCAACGCTCCAGCAACGCGTACAACGACCTCGGCGTACCGATAGATGTCGATGAGAGCGGACTGAACTCACGCTTCAGGCGACTGACAATCCGCTATCACCCAGATAAGATTGGACCAAATGTGGATAGAGATCGGGCAAACGACTTTTATGTTCATCTGAAGCATGCTAGGGACATCATCCTTGATCCTGCGAAGCGCTTTGCATACGACCGCTTCGGACCAACCATCTTTGCGCAGTGCCAGAGCTGTTTGACCATCAAAGATTACACGGACAGCGCGCTGCTCACTGCGGTTACGACCTACGGTGCACTCCTCATCGTTCTCGTCGGTGCAAACGCCCTCGGTTTCCTTACTGATGGCTCGTATTGGCGCTACCTTGGTCTCTTGGCTGTCGCAACGTTCGAAGTCCGTACCGCGCTTCGCCCTGACCACCCTACCATTCTTTCAAAATACCTGAACCCACTCGTCGCGTCAACGCACTTCCGTCCTGCGTATCTACCCTTCCAGATCGTCACCATAATAAAGAAAGCTGCCATTTCCCTCACGCAGTTCCTTGCTCTGCTTATGCCACTTTACCGTGCCGATCCTCAACATCCTACCAAACCTACCGACGATACCGAAGACACCCGCCACAAGCAGCTCGACCGTTTGAGTGGGCTCGTTGCAGAGAGCAACAAGGACGCGAATAGACTGTTGGAGTTGGAGAGTATACCATACAGAGATAACGAGAGGGCAAAGAGTGAGCTGAGGGAAGCACTCAAGAAATACATGGTGCAGAATGTGGTACATCAGGAGAGGGAGGTGAGGAATGCAATGGGCGAGGTTATGATGAGGAGAAGGACTGGTGTACCACATGGTGCTGTAGGCACAAGATAAGCTTGTTGCAAGCTGATCGACGAATGGTAGCAATCTAAAACTATTCTGTTATGTCCTAGGGATCCGGCAGAAACCATATTTGACGATTCTGTCTATTGCGCCTCACCGTTAAGGACTCTGCCTCTGGGTACTCAGTTCATGCTCTCCTACCATGGTTGAGGAATGGAAGATTGATACGATAGGACAGAAGACGACAATAGGTAAGACGGAGCTCTGTCTGATTATGATCAATACGGAAGTGGCTTGGTAAATTTACACTATCCGATTTCCAAAACCTGGGATTGGACTTGATCAGTCTTCTCTCAATTCGGAACTCTATCCGCCATCTGTGACGATGATTAGTGTCCCGCTTTGGGCCGTTTGTTGCTAAATTCGACTTTTGCCCCCGCTGTGGAACGAATTCCGATGATCCGCCAATTCCCCGCAACCCACCCCACACATTCTAAGACGCTTCCAGCAGCATTGACAGCAGCTCAATGGAATATTTTGCGGCCGTCGGAATAATGCTGTCCGCTTTAGCCTATGAAGGAGGTGTGATGATGTCGATATAAGTTCGGTCGTATTGTATGGAGGTATATGAAGCTTGGATATCCCTCATCCAAACGCAGTTACGACATCGACATCTTCACAATGCCTGCACTTCGAGCAGCCGCAATCTCACTTGCAGCCTCTGCTGTGTACGCCTACCCAACGACAGAACCATCCGGAGCACCAACCATAAGTTTACCGAATACTGCAGAAGGTGCCTCGATCCCACATAGCAATTCTTTCGCGTCGTTCTCGTTCGAACCCGCATTCTGGGTTGAATTCTTCGGCAATGCCAGCAATCCGAACAAGCTCACCTTTAGCGTTTTGGATAGGATCCACGAACATGGCGGAAGACCGGTAATACGGCCTGGCGGTATCACCATGGACAGTATGGTTTTCGACAAAGAAGGCGGCGACGTAGTGCGTACTACCAGCCCAGAAGGCGGAGTATGGCGAACCACTGTTGGACCAAACTACTACAAAAGTTGGAGTAATTTCCCCAACGGCACCAAATTCATTTCAACCCTCAATTTCGGCAATGAGAGTTTGGACATTTCTACTGGCCTTGCAGTCGCATCACTTACGTATCAGTCTGACAAGGTTGCATATTTGGAACTAGGAAACGAGCCGACCAATTATAAAGAAAGTCGGTGGAATGACTCGACAGCGGCCTATGTGCAGGAATGGAAGCAGTACACAGCTAGCATCGATGCTGCGTTGGATGCATTGAACAGTTCAGATCTGCCTCAAGAGCGCTGGTGGGCATCTTCCGCAACTACAGATGACTCAGGCCTAGAAGTTCGACCTGCTGCGCTCATTCCAGCAGGTATTGACTCGGAAGATCAAGTTGGCATCTACTCAATACATTCGTATGCCTTCTCAACCTGCGATCCCAAACGCGCAGCTCTGGCTACCATCGAAAACATCCTCAATCACACCGAACTCACACGCTACTGCGATGAAGAAATCTACCCATCTGCTCGCGCTGCTCTAGATGCAGGGAATAGATGGAACATTGGCGAGTTCAACTCTGTGTCTTGCTCTGGAGCACCAAATGTTACCGATACATTCGCGCAAGCACTTTGGGTCGTGGATAGTGAACTTATCTACGCGACACGAAATGCCACTTCTACGCATCTACACCAAGGGGCTACACTCGCTCTTCAATCAAACGAACAACTCAATACACCTGGGGCAAATGGTAGCCCAGGCTTCAGCACTTACTCCATGCTATACCCCCGCGACAGCGACTTGAGAGGTCCGGCACGTACTTTGCCGTCTTTCGTTGCGCAGCTCTTCATGGCTGAGGCTTTCGCTGTGCCTGACACTCGTGTGCGCGCTCTCGAGCCTCCAGCTGGTGTTGATTCAGAGTCTTTCTCTGCGTATGCTTTCTATGTGGAAGATCACCTGGCCAAGCTTGCTCTTGTCAACATGAAACCTTACTATGCCAATTCAACTGAGGACTTTTCGGTTCGCGTTGATTTGTCAGAAGCCGTCAGTTCCGGTGGCGGATGTTTGGGTGTGAAACGGTTGACGGCGCCTTTTGTAAACACTGGTAACAGTTCGTTAGTGTCGTGGGCTGGACAATCTTTCCCTCAGGGTGAGGCGATAGGCAAGGCAGTAGTCGAAGCAGTCGGGGAGGATAATGTGGTGGACGTCAGAGGAAGCGAAGCAGTACTCGCGTTCTTCGATAAGAACGACGCATACGGTTTGTAGGTCTCATAACCTGCACGGTGCTTCCAGCATTGATGCAACAGTGTAATTATTGCGGCAGCAATATACCCTAGACCTGCCCCAAGAGCTATCGTAGCCTCGCCAATAAATCCTTCTTTCAGCTCTTCTTCTGTTAGAGGTCCGGTATCTGCCGCAATCGAGACCTCCGTTGATCATGGTGTTGCTGTTGGTACGGCAATATGTGTTTGCAGTAACGTCGATATCAGTGTTTGTTGGAAGCGTGGATGAAATAAATTCGGTGCCATCTTCGTTCAGATAGTATCTGAGCTTATCCTCACAGCATGCTTGATGTTTCTCTCCGCAGCAGAAACTGCCGCCATTACACTGCATGACGAGTTTATAGTCCTCTTGTTGGCCTGTACAGTCAGTTCCACCACCTCACTGCATGGGCAGACTGACATACCGCATGTTTGCCATAAAGGACTGTATTCGCTTCCATCTGTTCCCCAATCAAGACTTATGCAGCTTAGTATAAACTATTTTCCGGTATTTGATATGTCATGGCTATAGTAAGTGCCCCGAATGCGATCGTCATCTTAGACAATGTGTGTTCTGTTCAGATAACAGCACATGTTTAAATCAATACAAATTCGTACCAGAAGGTTGGTATCTTTCTCGCCATATCCACTATAGTAGTGAAGCACTAGAAAACGTAAGAATGAGCAGACCGAGAGGGCCGATTGATAGATAATGAATTCCGAAGCGTGGCGAGCTTGATAAGGATATTCATATCGATAGGAAAAGAGTAGCAGACAAGGCTACAAGTGCAAGATAGTGGCTGGTTGTTCACTGAATGAACTGGCAGGTATGCCGATATGGAGCAATGAACCACCCACGCTTGTGAATCTTACATCTGTATCGCGTAAATTGGTGCATTTACCACAGTGCGCCTTGTCGCCGAATCCTTCATTTGCTTCTATTTCCAACACCAACCGGAATTCAAAGGCTGAGGCTGAGCTGTAGAGCTGACATGCTGGCATTGGCGGGTCGGCATGAAGTTGCATCGTGGCTTAGGCCGTGTTGCGCTGTTGAAAGGCAGTAGGTAGGGATCCTTCGGCCTACTAAAATAGCTAGCGCATCACTCCTTCGGCATACGTCGCGACTTCTTCTTCCTCAAACGTAACCTTTCCATCAAGTTTCATAGATTATTTTCCAAGCTCTCGACAGTGTAAGATAAAAAATATATATATATTTCCTTGTCCCACTCGGTGGTAGATTTCGCAAGTTTTGCGGGCCGACAAAAGCAAGTGCCTAGCCACTAAATCTGCATCGCATGAAGGACGATACACAGGCGCAAGCCTAGTTTCGTCTGGCGGCGCCACAGAACTCCATTCGAAAAGGTGGAGATTATACACGGTATACCTAAAGAAGTCTTTGGACGACAAATTTAACACCCACAAGCACGACCGCTATGGTCTGTTAAACCAACTCCCGCGCTGATGCAAAGCTTCTGTTCTTTAAAAGTCAAAGAAAAAGAGTCTCTCCTCTTCATGCTCTCTGTTATATCGTCGCCAAACGTATGCGCAATCCGCTTTCTCTCAAGATCTCGACCACACTCTCTATTTTGAGCATGAACTGCGCAGATTCTTTCGAGAAGCGCTCATAATCCCCATCACTCAAGGATCCTTGGGCTAGATCAACCTCGACCACGACTTCAGTCCTAGCTGTCTTGATGATAGCGAGGGTCTCGATGGTCTTACGACACATCTGTTCTTCAAAGAGACGCTTGTCTGGCAACAGGAAGGCAAAAGTTAGAGGCTGTATCTGTATGTGTAAACGTCTTGCATAGTGCGCCGGAATCATTCCCAGCCCAAAACCATCCGTTTCAAGGAACGGTTTGAGGAGGCAGAGCTCGTGATGTGCAAACTTGAATGTACGTGTCCAATAGTAGCATTCGAGCAACTCTCTAGCCACGTCTCCACCTAATCCTTCTGCGCTCAGGTATTTGGCGGTATGGTCTTCGACCCATTGGTAAGAGTGCTGGCCGCAAGGTTGTCGGACGAGGTGCGTGAAGCGTCGGTTGTTTCCAATTGCTGTGCGTCTGACAATGACTTCGTTGTCGTAAGATCCTTCAACGCAGTATGCATACACACGGTTACGAATCTCGCGTGGTAGACGTGTGTAGATGTCTGAAGCTATCTCTTCGACTCGAGGTACAGGAGGTCTATGTCTGTCGTTCCTGGCAGGTCAGCCATGTTCATGTTCTCCTGTATCTGCCACTTACTGCTTCCTAGGTCGGTCCACCAAAAGTTCTATATTCCATACAGCACTCTGCTGTCGCATCATCTCAAATCCGAATGATACGTCGCTATATTGACGCAAGTCGATCATCTCTCCTTGTGGTCGACTGCGCTATCGCATTGGATGTTAGAGAAGCATTAGGCGTTGTGGTCCTTACCATATATACCCTGTGGTCAAACAGCGGTGTCTTGTTCAAAAGTCGGACTCACCGCGCAAATGCACACTGGTAACCACGTGAGAGCTAACCTGCAACGATGCTTTTCGCGAATGGTTTCGCGGTACATTGTCCACTAGTTTCGCCGCCACACGAAGTAATCCGAATTAGGAAAGCATTGCGCATGGCACGGATCCTGTAGGAAGCGGGTAACAACAACAGATGCTTCAAAGTGTAACGTCTAACAGCATAAGCCCGAAAGCAACGCCGCAGTCGCCGATATTAGATAGCCCGAATTGAGGCCTAGATGATGGCCTTGAAACCGACTTCGCCGAACGCATCTGCGGCAGCCTCGAAAGAACCTCTGCTGCGTAAGACTTTCCAATGTTAGTAGTATATGGTAAGCATCTAACCTACGTCCAAGATTTATCGGTCTATATGCGCACATATCTCAATAGCTCGTTTTCGTCTATTCTGCCAGGTTGGTCATGTGAGTAGAATAGGGTCACGTGCACTAGCCTCCGTGGAAGACAAAAAGCATAACTAACCCATCCTTCGGTAATCCTAAGATCGGAAACCTGCACAAGTGCGAGCTCAGTCTAACAAAAGTAAGCCACCCTTCCGATACCTTACCTAGATTGTCCATCCACTACGGTCCGGACCGTGGGTCGATAGGACCCCACATGCGGCACAGCACGCTCAACAATAACGGTGAGGCTGCGCCGAAGCACAATGATGGCAGACAGATGTGCTCAACGTAATGCTCTGATTCCGCGGAGAGTCTGCATCGGCGAAGTTCGATATTGTCTGACATACGTTGACCGTGCCACATAAGACATCGCCGCTTACATACGCCCCGAATCGCAAATCGCTCACACCGTAAGCAGCACTCAGACCCATCGTTAATCGATCGCAGAGGTAAACATAAGTTCGCCCCATCCACACCTTAGCATTGCAGTTCATGATTGGTTAGGAGCGGGTCCCGTCCTTTTGCACGGCACGTTGCGATCTTTCTCCACCAACATCTATCATAGCAACAAGGGTAAATGCAACGAAGACCTTCTCTATCCACCGGAGCTGTACCAAGATCTTACTGAGGTTCTCTTACGCCATCATCAAGATCGAAGCTGGGCGTCTTACCCAGTAATCCCGCTACACCCACACTTGCTCGGGAACATCCTTTTCGCTTAGAGCCAAAATCCCTCTGCCACTCGAGTATTCCCGCATCTCCACTACATCATATTACTATTTGTCACACATTACCCAGCTTTGCGCGTCTGGGCTATCCTCTCTATGTCAAAGGAGTCCTAGACAACGCCCAGAACCGCGGACTCCACACCAAAAGATGATGGGTCCTTGTGAAGATCCTACAGTCTAGTCGGCGAACTCAGTACCTTCGTTGACTGCCTAATCAGCTGTTTAAGATTTCGGTCCGAGAATACTCGAGCCTAGCATATCTCCATGTTCTACATGTCAGTCACGTAACCATCTGTTGCCAGAGGATCCGGTGGCCCCCAGGTGGTATGATCCTCTAGCGCTTGTATGTTTAGCGTCGCCATAGGACTAGTGTTGCAGCGTTTATACGAGTCCGAAGCATCTGAGCTAGCAGAATGCTGACATATTTAGTAGTCCACGGTTATTGGGGTTCGCTATCTCAGCAATCTATTGGCAGACGATCAACATGGCTGCCAATACTATTGGATTGGCTTCCCAGAACCAACAGAGTGAGTGACCACGAAGGTAATGGACTCAGCGATTCCCTAGCGATTATAGTAAGCGCCGGTGCATCGTGCATATTTACCCACATCTTGATCACAAGGTGGCTCAAACGAGACACTAGGGGGTTGCCCAGGCCTTTCAAGCTCCACGGATCAAAGGCCGTTGGACTGTTCTGGATCTTGTTGGCGTCGACCTCTAGTGAGAGCAGCCACCGTTGAGAAATATTCGTTACAACGCAGATATCTATCTTTAAGCATGACATCTGCATGCTAAGCAACGTCACAATATTCCGAGACACGATCAAAAAAGGGCTCAACCGGTATCGCCCCGTCAGCGGCACGTTGCCATCGGTTGACGAATGGCTGTTCTGTCTTTACAAGAACGGAAGTCTCTTGGACCGAAAGCACTAGTTGAACCTGTCGGTAGTATACCAAGTCCTTGTGGCTACAGCTCATGTACGTCTATCTAGCGATATCACGCCAATATCGTTTCCAATTCGCCAGGAGTGTTCTTTCAACCCTCGCTAAGGACAACAACGATACTCAATAGACGGACATGCCGCTTTCAGGGCGCGGATTACCCGCTGTACAAGCAATGCCGTAACATATTCAGTCTTTGGCCGGAACTGTTGACGACGAAACTATGTGTGGCGGAAGAGGGGCTGGTTCTGAAAGGATTGATTGGGGCGGAAAACTGAAAGGTCTCGATTGTTATGGGGTGATGGGGCGAACATACGGAAGACAAGAGTTAATGAACCATAAAGAACTCCATATCCCCCTATTAGTGTTGGTCACAAAGAAAAGACCTCTTACTCTGGTCACCTGGGCAGGTATGCAAAGCTACTAGCATTGTATAGAGAAACCGGATATCACAAGCTTACTTTACACTGGCTTGTCTCAGCTGTTGCCAATCGAGAGAAGACATGTCTTTTGAAAAGGGTGTTGCATGCAACAACAGGACGAGTGCTGTGTATATTACTGGATTGGGTCATGAATACCCGTCCCACTCAATCAAGCAGGAGCACTTCATGCAACTGTTAGAGAAATTGCACCCCGACGAAGTAAATTCGCCAATGTTAGTACTCATTACCCTGACATATGACACTTTTCTCTCCTCTTCTAACATAGCAAAAGTATCCAAAAACTCGGGCGATTCAATGATAGATCAAGAATCCTCTCTCGCCCAACTACCATCGACTTCAATAGATGTACCAGAGAAGACGCCATGCCTCCAGAAATCGATTGGACCTCTCGCATATTTCGCGCTTCAGGGGTACGGCTTGCTACCTCTGCGTGCAAGAAGGCTATGCAAGAAGCTCAACTTGGACCTCGCGATATAACGCATACTGTGGCAGTAACCTGCACTGATCAGAACAATCCAGGATACGATCACTTTGTATGTCAAGAGCTTGGACTTCGGTCAAGTGTGCAAAGGTCGTTACTCCATGGTGTTGGCTGTGCGGGTGGTTTATCGGCGCTTCGTACAGCTGCTGACATTGCCGCCGCGGCATCACTTAGAGGTCGGCCTGCACGCATTTTGGTAATGGCATGTGAGTTGTGCAGTCTCTTTCTTCAAGCAGAGCTGCAAGCCACCCTACAAGACGGAGAACTACACATAGGTCCAGCACTATTCTCAGATGGCGCTGCGGCGCTGGTGGTATGCAACTATCTTGCATTAGAGGAGAAGCAAACACCGGTGTTCGAATTGTTAGAGTGGGGTAGCATGGTAGTGCCCGATACTTCCGGACATATGTCTTACGTCATAAAGAAGAATGGTGCGTCTCCGCTTCCTTCTGTTTCGTATACTCTTTATTGCAGATTATTACTGACACTGTAGCAGGCATGATAGCCACCATCAGCAAATTCGTTCCAGAAGCAGCCATCAAGTCCATCATACCCATGTTCAGACATCTTCGCGCTGCCATCGATATTACCCACAAGGCCGCATCGTTGGTCCGCAGTCAGGCTTCAAGCTTCGATTGGGCGATACATCCAGGCGGCGCGTCCATTCTACAAGGGGCCAAGCAAGCCCTGTGTCTCACTGATGACCACATTCGAGCCTCACTCGACGTCTACCAACATCATGGCAACTCATCAAGTCCAACCGTTCTTATCGTGCTAGATAAACTCCGTATGATGGGAGAAGGCAGAGAGAACGTAGTCGCCACCAGCTTCGGACCCGGGCTTATAATCGAGATGTGCATAATGAGGCGGTGTCGTCACATTGCTGTGCCGCGTCCATTCAAGGTCGACAAGCATACCTCTTGGTATGCTTCATGGCTTTCTTTACGCGCGTGCTTGCCGAAAAGAGGGTCAAGAAGGCAGCCGAACGTAAAAGAAGTTGTGGTGAAGAAGACGAGGGGGTATGTTCCGATTTTATGGTAGGGAGTAGCAATGCGACTTTTTGTTCTAGTTTTGCTACATACAAGATATATTGAGAGGAGTTCAGTATATCAATTGCAGGGTATATGGGACTGTATGTAACTGTCGTCTGAGGCCTGCCAAAAGAGACTCTTCGTGACTGTTTTTCCACGCAAAACCATATGTCGAGGTTGCCTGTTTAGCGTATCATTTGGAGAGTGTGGTCGGTCTCAAGAAATGTCGTGACTAGCACAAAGCCGCATTACTATGGTTGCTGTTCGAGTGCACGGTAAAGAGCCGCCCACGGGCCATAAATTAGAGTGGGTCCGATCATGACGTCAACGCGTCTAATCTCCAAACGACGCGACTTGACATATCACTCGTCCTTCATGAACCTTAAGACACAACCTGCAATCCGAATATGGCACGAACACGCTCAAGCAAGTTACATGTTGAGCAAACTGAAGCACCACCGGCCGTCCAAGGCAACGACGACGTCACCGAAGCCGGTGAGAGGCTGGCAACGCCACCTTCTGCATCCTTTAAGAACAAATTAAAGAGATACCAATACACAGAGACACGGACAGTGCAAGACAATCCACCGTTATCTGCATCGCCGACAAAATCTAGAAAGCGTGGTAGGACGACCGCAACGGCAGCTGTCAAAAGCTCTCCCGAATCGTCCGCAAGACCAAAAAAGAAGCGAATGCCTAGCAGATATGCCGACCCATCCAAATACGCACATCTATCGCCACTGGTCGACATACTTCAGCCCAATCTGATATGTGTCTTCGTTGGCACGAATCCAGGCGTTCAGACCGCCACCGCCGGACACGCATATGCGCATCCTTCCAACCTATTTTGGAAGCTCCTCCACTCTTCAGGGCTTACCGACCGTCGACTGAAGCCTGAAGAAGACCGGAGTCTCCCTGATCTGTATTGTATGGGCAACACTAATATCGTCGAGAGACCATCCAAAGACGCTGCTGAGCTTTCGAAAGAGGAAACAGCAGCAGGTACCGCGAACCTCGATGCCAAGTTCCTAAAATACAAACCAGAAGCTGTATGTATAGTAGGGAAGGGTATCTGGGAAGCGATATGGAGGTATCGCTATGATAAAAACCTTGGCAAGAAAGATTTCAAGTACGGATGGCAGGATGAAGAACACAATATGGGCAAAAGCAGGGATGACAAGGAAGAGCGAGATATCAACGGGAATGTATGGAAGGGGTCCAGGGTATTTGTTACCACGAGTACAAGTGGACTAGCAGCGAGTCTAAAGCCGGCCGAGAAAGAAGCTATCTGGAAGCCCTTTGGGGAATGGGTGCAGAAGCGAAGGGCTGAACGGAACTTTGTACCTTGGCCTTTGGAGGCCCAGGAAGCTAGCGACGAGACGCTAGAAACTTGAGCGCTGTCAGTTACGGAAACTGCCGCCACATGTCGCTGGAAGACTCAACAGTTGAACAGCTCTACGATACAAACAAGCAAAAGATCACGGCCAAGCCCTCTGTCCTCCATCACCATATCAGAGCAATGAGTAAACAGACTTCTCCGCTGTCTTATTTACGAACCTTGAGAGTCACGACTTGTTTCGCTGTTCAAAGTCACAACCTACCAGATGAACCAACCCATGACTTTGGTACTGACAACTCCGGGGTTCCATTGCTTGTATCGAGACTGCGCCTCAGCCGCGCCACAAGAAGACGACAGATTGTCTCGTTGGTTATTTTCGAGATCCTTTTTGCGCCAAGCCGGCTCTCTTCCAGAGTAACAAACTTCGGTTTTCGGACCGCAGACTCTCCACTTGGTAACCGACGGCGTATTGACTTGGCGCCGGACGCATCCGCGCCGTTCAAGGTCCGCTGTACGTACGCCGCCGCGGATTTCGGATCTCTTGGCGGTAAAATCCTCGCATGTCATACCTCACGAGTAGCACTCTGACAGCAGCTGCTCAAGCGGCATGACGTTGTCAGAATACTAATCTCGTTGTTGTTATCCCAGAAGCCAAATCGACTGCATCCCCATGATTTGACTGAGCCACCATGACTGGCCCGTCTAGTATTGCCTGCTGAGAAAGTGGCGCCACAACTAAACTATATCGAGAACTAGCGCGCGGAAAACACGGCAAGTTTGTATTGCAACTGCACCTCACATCGCAGCGTGCGTTTCCTAAAACGGAGTCCAGAACCCGCTCTCTTTCAAAGGAGGTGGGTGAGAGGGGCTTCAGAGAGACTGTGTACAATACTTCTGCTCCACGTCCATCACATTTATGAGCAGACTTGCCAGTAACACCACACGACACATCAACGCATTGCAAATCACACCGTCCAAACCTGCACATGCATATTACCACGCAATCAAGTCATGCACCTCAGATACCAAGACTTTGCGTACGCGTATGACAAGGGTCCTGCGCCTACCGTTACAGTAGTGGCTTGCTCGACCCCACCTGTGCCATAGCAAGCCCGAGCGAATGCCACAGTTACGCGCCATTGCTGCCACACTTGTGGCGCCGAGCAAAGCTCATCCGCAGTATCTAGGTGTATGAGCTCTATTCGGGCATCTACGCGGTCAATTGAAATGAGCACGTTGGTTCGTGCATAGCCTTTCCGCCCTTTACGTTGCAGATCCGCTGTTGCCGTTTGCCGAAAGCAACAGCCAGCGCGTCGAGGCCTGTAATCTTAAAAACACGAGTTCATCCCCCAAGATTCTAACATTACTGTGCCACATCCCTCTGCCACACTTCCTCTGCCACAGAGCACACTTCATATTCTGCCACACCACAAGCCTCACCAAGACCCGCGATACGCTTAGACGCTTCACCAGCCACGAATCCGCATCTCTATTCCAACGTCAAGTCGACAACATCACAACAGCAAGTATGAGCTACCCGGCGCCTCAACAACCTGGTTACTATGGCCCGCCACCGCAGCAGGGCTATGGACAGTACCCTCCTCCTCAACAACAGGTAAGTCTTATGAAATATGCATGCTCCTGCCTGGGTCAAGTTTGCGCAAGTTGAGGGTGTGGCTGACGGTGTATTTGGCACAGATGTACTACCAACAAGGTCCGCCTCCACCTCAAGAGGAACCCAAGAAAGACAGAGGATGCTTGACTGCTTGCCTTGCGACTTTGTGCTGCTGCTGGCTCTGTGGTGAGACATGCGAATGCTGCCTCGATTGTCTAGACTGCTGCGACTGCTGCTAGTCCGCTTCTTCAAGTATGCGACAACGATAACGGCGGTTCATTGGGGAAGGAATCTGGAAAACGAGACGACCACACGCTCACTACATTTCCTTGATGTAAGGGCGCGTATATCCACCGGGTTTCGATGATGGGCACACCAGGGGGAGGACTTGATTTAACGGCTTTGGTTTGTCACTGCAGTGGCAATGGAGTTAAGTGGTATTGCTCTTAGTGTTTGTTGATACAAATCTGAAATTCACTTCTATCTCATTATGCTCCCCTTTCCATCTTCGAGTGAGAGAATCACAAGTTGGCTGAAGCTATGTTGACAATAACCCATGTTTCATGACTAGTGTTAGGAAATACCTGCCGTTACGCTCGTGAACACATACTTCGATACCGACCGATCCAAACGAAACGATCAGCCAACGAAAACCGCCGCGGTTAGTCCTCGTAGTTCTCTTCAAGTTCTTCTTGATAGGCCTCCTGCGCTTCGATGAGTTCCTCGCGCTTCTCCTCCATAGACTCCCGATCGCTACTTGAGATGGAGGAACCGTCCTCGTCATGGGTTGGGACTGGGGGAGGTTCTTCAAAGGCCGGGTGGTTCTCATAAGGATCCGATGGAGGAGGCGCACCATAAGCAGGATCCGCTCCGTAACCAGGGTCAGCGCCGTAGCCACCTGCAGCCGCAGCAGGAGCCGCAGGTGGAGGAGCATACGACTGTTGCTTGCTCTCATCGTCGCTGTCGTCAGCTGGGAAATGTTAGTGGCAGAATTTTGTATGAAAGCTGTAGGGGAAACAAACCGAGTTGATGGCCAATAAAGGCACCGGCTGCAATACCGCCGACACCAGCGGCAGCGAGCATGGCAGTAGAGTGGCCGCTCTTCTTCTTTTCGGCCTCGTTGGTGGCTGCTCCAGATGGCGTGTAGTCGTGTCCCTGGTGGCCATGGGTGTTTCCGAAAAGGCCACGTTCATCGTGACCACCGGGTGGCATGTAAGGTGCGCCTGCGGGAGGAGGAGCATATGCTAGATCCAGGTGTACAAAGTCAGTCCATGTCTCACATGCAGCTCGTTCGGGGGCACTTACGGCCAGGTGGCAGATGCGAAGGAGGATCCCACTGTGTGCGACCAGTGGCTTGTTCAATGTAGAACCAGCGCTGGCTGTTCTGGTCCCATTGCTGTGTCCAGCCTGGCGGCATTGGTGGAGGCGCTCCGTAAGGCGCAGGTGGGCCTACGGGCGTAGGAGGGCCACCATATGGTTGTTGTTGTTGCCCATAGCCTTGAGGTGGGTAACCTTGTCCTTGGGGTGGGTACCCTTGAGGAGGACCCTGAGGCGGATAACCATGGCCCTGGGGCGGGTAACCTTGATCTTGGGGTGGGCCGCCGTGTCCACTTTGTCCGTAGTAGCCATCAGAGAGTGCGCGGTCACCAGGACCAGCACCGCCTGGAGCGCCATGAGAATCTACTGAAATTAGTGTTGTGCTTTACATTGATACAGCAGATACACATGCCGGCTGGCTTCTTATCGTCATCATCCATGAGCTCCTTCATCTTCTTCTTGAGGAAATCCATGATTTTGACTTGTTATCTAGCAAACGTAGAGCTGGTCTGTAGCAATACAAAGAGACGTCGTGCGGGGTAGTAGGAAGTACTGAGAAATGAGAAACTTTAGAGCTTTTGATATGCGCGGGGTGCAAGTGGCTTTAAAGCAAACGGATCCTGTGCACAGTCCGTTGCCAGCGGGGCATCTCAGGGCGCCCCCGGAGCGCACTGCCCCAGTTGTCTTTGAGCAAATCGCTCACGCTGTACATGCTTGGCATGATGCAGAGGGGAAGGAGCATGGCTTCGAGTGGAGGGGCATGTCAAAGCTGACCACTCCACTGGCAGGCGGGTGGTAAAAGTGGGGTGATAAAACGGCCTGATACGTCTGGCGGCTCGCCGGAGCTCCATTGTTTGTAAAGGCTCCATTAGTGAAGCTTGGCGTGGATATATGAAGCTTTCTTCGCTGCGCGTTCAGTGTTATGTCAGGGTGTATGCTGTTGGCATTCCGCGACGGCGAGTTACGCAAAACTTGCAGTCGATTTTATATTCTTAATCTTTGATGGGTCCAATGTTCGACTCAGCTCCGGCAGAGTATAAGGGGTCTGCTTCATTCCGGGATCCTCGTATCATAATCGATGAGCTGGTGAGTGGTAACATGTGGTTGGTGACTGAGGCTTAGCGGATCGCATGCGCCATTTATTGTGGCACTTCTGCCACCGTGGCTAGATTATGAGGCGCACCACGATAGCCGCGAACACCAGATTTCGCATGCCGCGTGATGTCAGTAGGGAACACGAGGGGCTTGCACATGTTGCACCGCTGTACCATTACACTACCGTACCGTTGCATCGCTGCACACATATGTAGAATTGTTGTAGTAGGCGCAGCCGGCAATGAAGTTGAAGGTCTTCCTAAGTCAGTAGGATATCCCTTCCGTGACAAATTTGGCAATTGCGAGAGAAGTGCTGATAATAATATGAAGATGTCCGGGCAGCCGGTACAAGGGCACAAGTTGAGTTTCCAATGCCGGGGTGCTGGTTCAAATGGTCTTCTCTTAACCTGGTACAGTGTGCGTGTATTCACGGGTTCCAGGGTGGACTGGCAGGTGTCGCACAGTCGTGACTCGCGACCTTGAACACCTCATCGGGCCGGAGGCGGAACGGTACGCACACGTGGGCATTACGCAATTCATCAAGTAACAAGGCGACCCTGGGCCAAAAGCCGCCGAGGATTAGCCATGAACTGCGCTTGCACGACTGTTTGGTGTTTTGCGTCTGGCAGTCAGACGACTGGATGGCGAAGAAGAGGACGAGACGCTTGGCGTTGTTTTTGTGTATCGCGGATGGGAAAGAGCCACCCGAGGTTGGGGAAAGAGCCACCGGCACGCCGGTCTAAATTTGAGCCGGACGAGAAGGCGGGACAGGAGCATCGATGAGACGTTTGGCTAGTCGTGAATAGTAAGCAACTAGACGCAAAGCATCAGGAGAGTCCGAAAGTGATTGCAAGTTAGGTTGCGTTGAGACGAATGGGAGGATGGGTGGATTGATGGGGTCTGTGTTGCATGGTCTGAGCCTTGGGTTCTAGAACCAGATCCATGACGTCGGCTCCATCAGAGGGTGACTCGAGGACCGCCAACGATACCCAGCGGAAATTACGCCAGTCGCGAATGGCATGGAATGGGCATTCGAAGAATGCCATGTGTGGTGTCATAGCCCTGTCTCGAAGGCGATGCAGCCCTGAAGCAGCCTGGAGAGTATCGCGCGGTTGTTCCAGCTCCAGCCCACGTCGAGTGCGATCGCGATCGACCTGTTGCAGGGGAGGCCAAGCACGAGCACAAGCGAGATCTGCGGCCTCTTGACCCTCCTGTACGCTCCGCCAGATGCGATAGCTGAAAACAAATGTGCAGAGCGTCTTCATGATGCCCTGAGGACACGACATCCATTGAATTACCACTGCCATCGTCATCGTCGCCGCGCTACCTCACCACCGCCCTGATCACCAGACCCGAGCCTGCGAGACCCCCCGAATTGTGCCGCCGTGTCAAGATACTTAGCGCGCAACGCTGGCCATCCCACCGGTGTCATCTACTCGGTCCATACGCGGTGAGACTTGATGCTAGATCTGGAGACGACGCTCCACCACACCGACCTTTGCTCGTAGCGTGACGTTCGTGGGCGCGATCAACGGCCTTTGCCCTATCTGTTGACTCGCATCCTGGCATTTCTATGTGGGAGCCGCGTTCAATCTTCACAGGTACTAACACGACATCGACGCCTCACGACACCACGCCCGAACAGCGTAGACTGAACATCGCCAGCCATCACGAGCCTCTCGCTACCACGCCCGGCACTCTAGAGTCGCCCATAGTCCTTGATACACCAGCCAATCTCCCCGTACTACAGCCCCCATGGACGCCCAAGTCGCCACTTGACCATCGCGACTGGAATCAACCCCCGGCTTCTGCGCCGCTGCAGAGCAGTCGACGACACAGTGGGAAGCAGCAGCCTGTGCGGACACCACCGGCTGTCGTTGGCATCAAGCGCCCCCCTCCCTTCAGTGACTTCGCCTCCGCGTCTGCGTCGTCTACGCACCCACCAGCGCCCGCCAGCGAGCCCTTGCACAAGCGCCGAAAAGCGCACCCGCGTTCGCGATACTCCCTCGACCACTTCAGCTTCCCCAAGAGCGCCTACTTTCGCCCGGACGGCCAACCGCCCTCGCCCCTCTTCTTTTCTTCGCGAAACAACCGACCACAACTGCCCGCACGCTTCTCGAGTAGCGAGGCAGCAGCAAGGATGCTCAGCAAAACGCGCGAGGACAGTGGCATCAAGACCGTCACACTCGCAAGGGGAACATTTAGCGGTCTCAGCCCCCCAGGGCCACCAGGGGCTGCCAGTGGGCGCACTTCAGAGCGTTCAAGCGTGGCGCCTACAGCATCGCCTGATTCGCGCGACAAGAGTGATCCGTTGCGCATACTCGGCTCCGTTGGCATAGTCGAACTGCTCGAGCAAGATGAGCGGCCAACTTTCATCGTTGATACGGGCGATTTCGCAAATTACATGCCCGAATCTTCCCGGTTGCAGATACTCTTCTCCAACAATGCCCTTCGATCTAACCCGTCCACCTGGGAGCTGGTAGCTGGAAGGCCGACTGGTTCTCCGTCTGATGATGATACGGCGCATGCGACACAACAATTTCGAGGCTGGTTGCTTAGCACTGGGGTCCAGGCCGATTCTTCCGAAGTGAACCCTTCTCCTGTAGAACATGGTGGCATTGTGTGGACATGTTACACCCTTCGAAAACGGCTGCGCGTCGTCTCTGGTTCCATCTCCGCTCCTGCCATCGTTTTGCCTGCTTTGGATGGACCCAACGATTTTGCTATACCTTCGACCTCGTCCGCAGGTCTCGGTTCGGGGACCAACGGTGATACCACTTCATCTTCCGCTGATCAGGGTGAAGCACAAGATTATTTTGGCAGCACTATTCCTAGTGTTCCCCAGGGGGCCCAGGGTGAACCGACTCCTCCCATCTCTGCACCCCAACCTAAGCCGATTCAAAAGAAATTCGTCAACCAGGGCAATGGCATGATCCCAAAGCCATCTCAAATAGACATATCGTCAGCGGAAGAATCCTCTTCCTTTGCGAACGAGTGCGTATTGCGAGCTCACACTGCAGGCGATGTTGACCCGTTCCATAGAGAAACTAACGCCCATCGGGATGATCACCACGACATGGGCTTCTTCGACTGGACCAGACTGGCAATGTCGCCCTCCCTTCCCAGACACATTCAGTTTGCGCGCTCAATTGATTGGGCGAGCACACCTTTAGGTCCAATCGAGTACTGGTCTAATGACCTTCGCGCTATGTGCAATCTTATAATGTAAGTCGATCAGTCTTATACGCACCTTCTCAGCGTAAATACTGACAATGACCAGGGCGAGCCCCCACCCAGCTGCTATGTACTGGGGAGAAGAACTCGTTGCTATTTACAACGAAGCCTATATTGGTATGATCGCCTTCTCCAACACATCTACATGTATTAACGTCTCGACTAGGACTCGCAGGGCAAAAACACCCCGCTCTTATGGGACAGAGTTACAAAGTGGCTTGGGCGGAGATATGGGACGATGTCAAGGGAGTATTTGCCAATGCACGTCTTACCGGGCAAGCGACAATGAAGGACGACGATTGCCTGTTTATGAAACGCAACGGGTTCCTCGAAGAAACATACTTTTCGTGGTCCATCATCCCCATGGTCGGCCAAGACGGTACGGTCATGGGTCTCTACAACCCCGCTTTCGAGAAGACACGCCGCAAAATTGCAGAAAGACGCATGCTCACGCTCCGCGAAGTTGGCGAACGGACTGCCACCGCTCGGGAGGTCAAGGGCTTCTGGGATCAGGTGTTAATAGCACTGACCGAGAACGAGTTCGATACCCCGGTAGTAATGCTCTACAGCGTAAACGATGAGAATGATAGTGACTCGTCTTCTATACAATCCAGCAGCTTGCTAGGTTCGAAACAGTGTTTCCTCGAAGGCTCTTTAGGCGTCCCAGCTGGCCATCAAGCTGCTCCTGAGCAGATTGACTTGAAGGAAGGGCAAGAGGGCTTTGGTCCCGTCTTCCGGGAAGTAATGAAGACTGACAAGCCCGTGGTTGTTAGCATCGGATCAGGCGATCTACCGCATGCCATGATGGACGGGCTGGACTGGCGAGGTTTTGGCGACCCCTGCAGAGACGTCGTCATATGCCCAATTCATCCTACGACAGGCGAAAACATACTTGGCTTCTTGGTCATGGGCATCAATCCGCGGAGACCCTACGACGACGATTACAACCTTTTTGTCCAATTATTGAGCCGCCAGTTAGCCACTTCTCTGGCTTCCGTCGTTCTTTTCGAGGAGGAAATTCGAAGAGGACAGAGAGCAGCACGCCTCGCAGCAGAAGATCGTTACAACCTTTCAACCCAACTTGCTGCACGCACACAGGAAGCCAGGGAGAGCGAGACGAGATTTACGCGAATGGCGGAGCTGTCTCCTGCAGGTCTCTTCATCGCTGATCACGTCGGAAAGATAACTTACTGCAACGATACATGGTACGAGATCTCGCGAGTACCAAGAGAGCCAGAGATGACGGACAGGTGGATCGACTACGTCAAGGACGAGGATCAAGGCCTCATCCTTGCGCATTGGAAGGAATTAGTCAACGACACTACGCCTATCAACATCGAGTTTCGCTTTAAAGCACCTTGGGAGGACCGAAACCGCAACAAAAGTGAGACCTGGGTCCTGTTCCAGGCCTATCCAGAGAAGGATGACGATGGGCAACTCAAGAGCGTTTTTGGAAGCATCACGAACATCTCACCTCAAAAGTGGGCCGAAGGCTTCCAAAAGCGGAAGATGGAGGAAGCTGTCGAACTCAAGCGACAACAGGAGAACTTCATTGACATAACATCGCACGAGATGAGAAGTAGGATTCTTCCCTACATCAACCGCTTATGAGTATATGCTAACGTCTTACAAGATCCTTTATCTGCTATTCTGCAGTGTGCCGATGAGATTAGCACCATCTTAGGCGACTTCAGAGCTTCAGGTTCCAATGTCATCGAGGAAGGCATTGTTGCCGATTCGATTGATGCGGCACAAACAATCGCCTTATGCGCACAGCATCAAAAGCGTATCGTCGACGACGTTTTGACGTTATCAAAGCTCGACAGCGCAATGCTCATGGTGACACCAGTGGACGCTCAACCCTTACAAGTGGTGCAACGTGCGCTGAAGATGTTCGAAGGAGAGGTGCAAACAGCTGGCATTCAGATGGAGTTCGTCCTGACCGACTCATTCACCAAGCTCGGTGTTGATTGGGTGAAGATTGACCCCTCACGAGTGCTTCAGGTACTCATCAATCTTACCACCAACGCGATCAAATTTACGACCACCGAGGAGACCAGAACCATCAAGGTCGTTCTATCAGCATCGCGAGTACGTCCATCGGCAAGCGAACATCCTACCGTTAGCTATTTTCCCATGCGAGCCAAGAGGACCGACCAAACTTTTGGACCTGACTGGGGTGATGGTGAAGAGATCTTCTTGGAATTTGCAGTACGGGATACTGGCCGGGGCCTTACGCCGGAGGAGAAGAAGCTCCTTTTCCAACGCTTTTCTCAGGCAAGTCCACGGACACACGTCCAGTACGGCGGATCTGGCCTCGGCCTGTTCATCTCCCGCGAGTTGACAGAGTTACAAGGTGGAGAGATTGGCGTCTCTTCCGAAGCAGGCAAAGGCAGTACATTCGCGTTTTACGTCAAGTGTCGGAGGAGCAGCGAGCCACAAGAAGCCTTGGAAGTCCTTCCAACTCCATCAATGTCCAGGAAGGTGTCGAATGCGAAGGATAAGGGCAGAAAGGAGCTACCTCTTCCGTCGAAGATCGCAACCAAAATCAAGGATTTTGCTGCTGTGCCTGGCAAGGATAGCGTTGGTCCAAAGGCCAAGCCAAAGAAGAGGGAACTCAAAGTACTAATCGTGGAGGACAATCTTGGTACATGACTAAGGCTTCCCCTGCCAGTTTACTTTTACTAACATACCGCAGTAAACCAAAAAGTCCTTCAGCGCCAGCTCCAAAACCACGGCATCCAAACGACCGTCGCAAACCATGGCGGTGAAGCACTTGAAGCGCTCAAGTCTTCTACTTACTGGGCCTCACCCAATCAGTCTCCCCTGGAGGACATATCAGTCGTGCTAATGGACAAAGAGATGCCAGTCATGGACGGTTTACAATGCACCTCGCAAATTCGTGCTCTTGAACAACAGGGCAAGTTCAAGAGGCATGTTCCTATCATCGCGGTTACGGCAAATGCGCGCAGTGAACAGATCGCGACATTGCTCGCTGCAGGCATGGATGATGTTGTCAGCAAGCCGTTCAGGATCGGTGAGCTAATACCTAAGATCGAAGAGCTAGCAAGCAAGTTCGGAAGCAAAAGATTGCCGGACGAAGCTTCACTCAACGTGCCCGCTGGGCCGAGTGAACAGCCCTACGGCGTATGAAAGACATGCGTTACGACTCAGCGTACTTGGATGACAAAAGTATTTTTTGGGTATACGTCTACGACGATGGTTACGGTGATGCTCACGCATACAAGAGCTGGGCTCGACGGTGTTACGGAGTCTTCACATGGTGCATTGTCCCTAGCATGCATATCGGCATTTGATATGGGTTGTTATTTAATACGGGTTTTGGTCCCTCGGTAATAGTTATGCATATGGAATATACCCCCAGGGAGGTTCAGGCGTTGGTTGAAAAATGGCATATACACGCAAGCACTACGTAGTCAGTGCAATCAAGAACTAAGACTATGTGCAGGCTTTGGTTACTGTGGATGTGAGAGCGCAAAGTGAAAACTCGTGGCCTCATCCTGTAAAGCGCGTCGCTCTCTTCTCATCTCCCACTCATACCCTCATCTGCCTCTTCTCTTAATCTACGCGTCTTACCCCCACAACCTTATTTAACCTACCTTCCACCCCTTCAACTACTCCTCTTAGATCTTCAATATCTCTTCCTATATCTGATATCATATTCAATATTTCACCCACCTCATGCGCTGTCCGTCTACCCTCCACTCGGCTCAAGTCAGTACTCAAGCTGATCACGTCAGCCTTGCGTCGCACCCAAAGCCAACGACGTTGAAGATCGCAATTAGCGTATTCGAAGCCTAGGCGATTGCTGCTATGTAGATGGCTAGCTGAGGGCGAATCGTCATCTGAGTACGGGTGATACTGCGCTGCATAAGGCGATTTCTCGGATGGGTGAGTTGACGATTGAATTGACCATCGCGCCGGGTCTTGAGATTGATACTCAGGCTTGAGGAATGGATGCTCAAGATCTCGGAACGTTTGAATAAGATCGCGGATGGTGACACGCATCACGCTCAACGCCTCTTCTTCGCCGCTGGATCTCATCCTCTGAATGTCGCGGTCAAAATGCATCGTTTCCCTCCTGCTACCCCCTCTTCCTCGTCTACTTTTCTTTCGACCTCCATTTACATGCTTGCCACCACCATATCCACCGTAGTACTCCTCGGAATCGCTTCGGGCACCAGGACCATGACTGCGATCTCTCCTCACGTTCTTCAGTCTTCTTCTTACTTTTCTCAAGTGTCTCCTCTCCTCCAGCAGACCTTGTTTCAGGCTCGACAGTGTGTCCTTGATCTCTTCTGGAGCCGCTTGGAAAGTCATGAGATTTGACCAGGAGACTTTTAGTAAGGTCGCAAGTGTGAAGGTAAACGAGACAAAGCCGATAATCGTCGATACCATGGATAATGGCGAGAATGCTGTGTGGGATACTGTAACACCCATTGCGTATAGTTGTGTCGTTCTAGTGACTCGAGGCCCCTACGAACAGGCTAATCCTGTATGAGTAGATTTTGTGATGTATCTGTAGGCAGTTGATAAGCTGAGCCAATTGGCACTCACGAACGTCGAGGGACGTCTGTCGCGTTCCGAGTTCATGGGAATGTCAGCAGCATGTGTTGTTTACGTCGGCAAGACGCGAACTTGCCCCGAGTCATTTTCAAACGTCATGACTTGACCACTTCCTTAACAACGGTTGCTGGCGCCGATCCAATCGCCCGTAAGCTAGCGTGTTGATCTGCCGGCGTCTTGGTCGGTTTGCCTATTCAGGTACGAAGAAATCCCTTTTTCTTCTAGTGCACTGAACACCAAAACCAACCGTGACGATTTCGCAGGCACTTATGTTGTGAGCAATGCAGTCATACGCGGTAGATGTACTGAGTGGTGCAAATACTCTTCTTACACGTGGTAGTGCCTTCGGTTGTCTGCGCGACATATCACACAAAAAGGTTTGTTGGCTCGCGTTTCGAAGTGTCTAATTTCGCTTTTGCGAGATTATTCTCGAGAGAAAACGCGATCAGGTATCATACACATCTATGTTTACACATGCTTAGAACTTGTAGACCTGGTCCTTGCTGTAACCAAGCTCCTTCAGATAACCGTCAAGCTCGCCCTGGTCGCTGGGGCTCTTCTTGCCTCCACTGATAGCCTTGTACATGCCTGGCGGTCCGCAGACAAACAGCTTGATCTTGTCACCCTCCTTGGGCTCAGGCAAAACAGTCTTCAGGAGCTCCTTGGTCACGTATCCCTTGCCGCCTTGCCACGACTCAGGCGGGTTGTCCAAAACGTAGAAAGCGCGGAAGCGCTGGGGATATGTGTTCTCCAACTCCTCCCACTCGCGCTTCAACAGGATATCCTCTTCTGAGACGTTGCCGTATACGAGCGTAACCTTGGTCTTGTCCTCAGGGTTGCGGAAGATGTGTCGTGCAGTCTGCCACATGGGGGTGATACCGGTGCCACCAGCGATCAAGGCAATGTGCTCGTGCATGTTGGGCTATACACGTGGTATTTTGCGTCAGTTTTTGTCTCACAGCTGGGGCAACTGGGCGGCTCATACCTTCCACTGGAACTTGGGGATGGGACCCTTGATGTCTAGCCGTTGGCCTGGCTCCATGCTGTGCATGTGCTCAGACATAGGACCGTTGGGGTAGGCCTTGATGATGAAGTCGACGGAGCCCTTCTGGTCTACGTCGCTGATGGGTGTGTATGGTCGGATGACTGGCTTCTGCATCTCGGGGCCCTTGTATTTGGTAATTACGGCGGCTGTAGGAAGTCAGCATGTGGTCTAGCCAGTATTCTTGGTTGTCCAACATACAGGCAACGGGCAATCCGCTCTCCATATCCTCCTCGGGCAGCTTGAATCGGAGCTTCTTGGTGTTGTGGTTGACAACCTCGGTGTTCTCCAGCACTAGTGATACGAAGCCCTGGTCGCCTCCAGTGAAAGCCTTCTTGACCGAGCCGTCGGTAGAAGCGGGGATTTTCTTGGCCTCTTCTGAGGGCGGCGCATTGCCTTTCTGCCCCGACGGCGCATCGCCGCCCCTCATGTATAGGTAGGCACCAGCAAGACCAGCAGCGCCGATACCTGTGTAGAGGACACCATTGTTGCCACCGCTCTTGGGCGGCTCGGATGCGTAACGGCGGACTTGCTATCTCTTGTTAGTACTTTACACAGAGACTGGGAAGATTTGTAATGTCGCGTTCGGTGAGAATGTGCGCGCATACCTGGTGCAACGTCCTGGCCGGGCGGAAGATCTGTCTAGCAAACATGGCGAGACGAATTGATGTGATGAGGAGGGGATGGAAGGAGAATTGAGGTGTCTAGAGAAGAATAAGCGTTATCCAGGTGCTAAGGCCGGAGCTCATTGTAAGCTAGCGCCAAGCAGTAAACGTCATCGCGGGCGCTCTTTTGCCGACCAGTCCGAACTCAACACCATCGCCAGCATCTATCATCTCGTCGGTTTCGAGCGCATACTCAGCGGCATTGCGAAAGATACATTTATTGGGACTCCTACATCAATGTTGTTGGACATCGGGAACGAACAGCACAGATAATGTCTTTGGCACTTACAACCATAGCGGAGCTCAATATATGGAACCGAGAGACGGCCCGCGCCCGGATCAATCAACAGTATGAGGATTTCATCGCTCTGGCACCACGAAATGATACAAACAGAACACACGCAACACCCATGCGCGTGATATGATGCAGTCATGGCTACTAAAACTTTCACCAAAATCGCTGTCAACACGATGAACATACAGGCTGGGCGATCCAACGTGCGTGACAATTATGCCAAAATGGCTTGTGTATGGTTAGACAGCTTGTATGGTATATGGAGGTGAGATACCATCGCATTTACTTTAGACCAGCATGTTTCGCCCCCTCAGGAGGTCGAAGTCATCAAGACTTTCAATTACACAGTGCCTACCAAGATCGTTGAAAATGAGCAAGCCGCTTACACCACATACATGGACCCGCATCAGCCTTCGCTGACTGTTCTGGACCACACAATCCTCGAGCCTAGGGAAACTATTAAGAAGTATCCGTCTAAGCTTGTAATATCATAGGCGATGGGCACTCATTGGCATAAGTAGGATCGAAGGTCGGAGTGAATGATGAAAAGCTCGGTCCAGCCATGTCGCATTGACCGTCGCACTCACTTTTGTGGCTCGCTCAGATCTGATGAGACTATTCTTCTTGACTCGTATTTCTACTCACTTCTAACATCGACGCTCCACCATTCTTAATCGAAGTGGCCCTCAGGCATCTCTGGGTGCCTCGTTGCAGACCGCTTGTTTTTCATATACCATCGGATCGTTCGATGATTCCTGGCAAAATGACTCTCTTCCGCTCATACAACGTGACTCGCGATTGGGACCATAAGGAGAACTGATCGCTTATCCTGATTGACCGAGTCTACAACTGCTACCACCATGGACGATCTCGACCGCAAAAACATCCTACAGCTTGCGGTATTCGAGATCAGCTACCATGGAGCAACCATGCCATCATGGCTACACTTGTGTACCCAATATTACTCCCGACTTGTCAATCTCTGTCTGTGCGGTCTGCTTCACAGAAGCTCGTATTGCTGAAGTGAAAGCCACGCAAGCTGCATTGTCTCGCCGTGGTGGTATATTCGATTCTTCCAACGCGGGAGGAGAATGGTGTACGACTGAGAGCAACGCTAAGAAGTGGATGACGCATAGGGATTGGACTAAACAGTGGAGGAGGACAAGACTTAATTGTTGGAGGCTTGAGGCAACACTGGAAAAGTTACAGGACGAACGATGCGATATGGCAGAACAATGGGGTCTAGACGAGGCGCTGTATATCTGGGAGCTTGTAAAAGATGAGTGTAGCCAAGTACCTGGTTATGGGCATACAGGGGATTTCGTTTCAACGAAGGTACAAGACACACAAGCCATCTTGAAGCCAGCACCTGCGGAAGAACAATCATCTGAAGAGGATTGGGAGACGGTTAAGTGTAGATGGAAGAAAAGATCTCAGCCACTAAAGAGTTTACTTCAAGACGAGCCCGAAAAAGCAGTCACCAAAGAGACGAACAGCGTCATCAACAGACTGAAGCATCTGGGTTGCACTTCGGAGAACCGCTTCAAAGCTCTCATCAAGCATGACACAAACGTAGTAACAAAGCTTGCCGAGCCGATAGAAAGACCACGACATTCGCCCAATGGCGACGCAATACCCAAAACACCCGACTCTGTTCGAGAGACCGCTTGGATGGAGCCTCGTTCGGCACTGAAGTGTAACTCGCCTTCCACTTCCCGCTCAAACAAGTCAGTCGTTATCAACGCACAGGCTACAATTCTTCCGCTTGGTACCACAC